CTTTACCCACTCATCCACTGATGGACGTACGCACCCCATCTGCTTTACCCACTCATCCACTGATGGACGTTTAGGCTGTTTCCACATTTTGCTACTTTGAACAGTGCTGCAATCAACATGGGAGTGCAGGTATGTCTTCGGCATCCTCATTTCCTTTGACTATACAGTCGGCAGCGAGGCTGCTGGCTCATATGGTAGCTCTACTTTTAGTTTTTTAGGAACCTCTATACTGTTCTCCATAGTGGCTGTTCTGTTTTCCATCCCTACCAACAGTGTACAAGCCGTTCCCTTTCTCCATTTTAACACTTTTATTGGAATACAATCTTCACATACTATAAGCAAGTCCATAAGCAATGTACTTTGAAGCCTTATCAACGCTGGGTAAGTTGAATTTCCTTTTCAGAAACAGAATACTATGAGAAAGCTGCCACTTGTAGATGCTGTGGCATGACATAAGAGAAAAAGGAGTACACTACTTTGTGCTCACTGGTCTTTCCTACAAGAGATCTGCCTGCATTCCTCAGGACAGTGAGCAGCAGCTCTTCCTAGAAATGGCCATGGGCCAGTCTGCTCTCAAGAGGGCGTGCTGGGGGAAGATGCGAACACACTGACACACCCTGGCAGACCTAGGATCTATAGTCACCAGCCTCTGCTGCTGCCAGCTCACTTCCTGCACCGCATCCTCGTGGAAGGAAGGTCTGGAGCACAGTAAATCCATCACAGACAGAAAGGCACAAGGGAGCAGCCAACAAGCAGCACTCTCGAGGCCTTTGGGCTGACTAACCTCTGATGACGGAGATTTTGAGAGGTGCTAGACAACAGACTGGTGGCAGACAGCAGACTGGACTGCCTGGTCACAGCACAGTGGGCCCCACACCTACCTGTGCCACAGGTGCCACCTCGGCACCTCCAGCCGTCCCAGTCACATCTGCATGTTTTGCTAGCTCTTGCTCCTGAGCCAGCTGTTCCTGGTACTTCTTCATGTCATACTCAAGCTCTGATGCCAGCTGTTTGTCAACTGCAAAGAAGTCCTTGACCTCATCTCGGTAATCCTGCATCACCTCCTAAAACAGACCCAGGAGCATCCTTTAATGCTTTCTTGAATAAAAAAGTAAGCCCTAAACCCCCATGACACACCTTTGCCTATGTTACAAACCTGCACGTCCTGCACATGTACCCCTGAACGTAAAATAAAAGTTAAAAAATAAAAAAGCCCCCAACATGACTTGATAAATAATAATAGGAACAATAAGACTGACATTACTGAAAGCAGACGTTTCCATTCCAGTGACTAACAGTACAGTGGTACATTTGGAGCAAACACCACTGGCCACACGAGCAGGTAAATGTGTGAGTAACTCACAGCTCACTTTCTCAGGAAGCATCCTGGCCATCTGGCAGTTAATGGCCGATCTCTCCCAGGTTCCCAGTGGGAGAAAGACATGCTCAGACACGGCCTCTGGAGCAAGTCCCAGGATGCCACGGATCTCAAAGCTGCTCCTCTGTCTACATTAGCCTCCCCACTGGCTCTCAGGGGATTACAACTAAGGTTCAAATCCCATCTTTGTGTCTTCTGAAGATTTTACAGAAAACCTTTTCTCATACCTAGGGAAGAACATTCTTAGGTCTTAAAGAGGGCTGCCAGGAGCAAGACCACTTTGCTAAGAGAAAGAACCATTCCACCTAACAGGAACAGGGAGAAAAAGACACTGCAGTTCCAACTAGGAGGGAAGTCTCAACAAAGAGAAGGGATCCATGCACTCTTCCAGCTGCCACTAGGAGTGGGTTCCACAGGCCAATGAAGAGACTCCCTGAAGCTGCTGACAACAAGCAGCGTGTGGCCATCCTCTGGGTGTGAGCTCACAAGCAGGAGGAAGACTTATTTTTCTTAAGTGTTTAAGTAGTCTATGTAGGATCTAAGTTTTTTTTTTTTTTCCTTTCTAGGGTCTAAAGCAGGGCAATAAATACAAGAATACTTGGAAGTTTTTATTTTTATCATACAATGAGACTATCTTTCCTACCTTAGCTTCCTACTATAAAAAACTATTTGAAAATGTATATTCAGTGTAACTTTTATTGAGGCCTTTAGTGGGAAAAAAATTGTAGCATTTTTTACAGAGATATAACTGCTGAATTAAATAAAAACTACGTCGCATTTATTTCTTAGTAAAAGATTTTGCCAGAAAGATCTGAGGCCCCACTTAGGTCTGCCCTGCAAGTCAACACATCCTGGTTTGTTCAGACTGAGTTCCTCATGGTCCCCTTGCTTGACAAAGAATTCGGCCCGGTGACGGCAGCTCCCAAGGCAACTCCTGCAGGGCAGTTATTTCCTGACCTTGTGAATCTGAGTCAGTGCAAAAGGTAAGCACCCTGAAATCAAACCCGAAGACTCACTTTCACCTCACCCCCCAGCAGCATGAACGAAGATGACTGTGTTCTCGACCCCAGCTGGGAAAGTTTTCCAGATGGACTCGAACTCCATCAAGGGAAGACTTGCCTGGCACAGTGGGCCGGCTCTTCACAGCCCTGGCTGTACATCCAAGGGAAGGAGCGGCTTTGACGGAACCCACAGCCAACCCCCAGCTCCACAGCAGTTACCAAGGTAATGCTGGGTTTGCAGAATTTGGGGTTCTAATCATTCACTGATTGCCTACACCGTCATAACTGGCAGAAGATCCTAAGTAATGAGCTGGTAGGAGGACAACCACCACAAAAGCACAGGCTCCACCCTTACCCGGAGATACTGCATGAGTTCCCGCAAAGCTGGGATCTTATTTTTCTCCAGCACAGTCTTCAGGGAGATGATAATTGGAATAATATTTTCTATGAAGTTCCTCTTCTGAACCTGGTAACACAAAGACATGTTTTAGGTGTATGAACTTCTTTTTTTTTTTTTTTTTTGAGACGGAGTCTCGCTCTGTCGCCCAGGCTGGAGTGCAGTGGCCGGATCTCAGCTCACTGCAAGCTCCGCCTCCCGGGTTCACGCCATTCTCCGGCCTCAGCCTCCCGAGTAGCTGGGACTACAGGCGCCTGCCACCTCGCCCGGCTAGTTTTTTTTGTATTTCTTAATAGAGACGGGGTTTCACCGTGTTAGCCAGGATGGTCTCGATCTCCTGATCTCGTGATCCGCCCGTCTCGGCCTCCCAAAGTGCTGGGATTACAGGCGTGAGCCACCGCGCCCGGCCGGTGTATGAACTTCTGAAAGACAAAGGCCTCTCCTTGATCTAGTTCTTTGAGTACAGCCACCGTAGCACACTATGTAAGTTTATTTTTGCTTTTCATTATGATCCTGGAGATGTAGAGGACCTCTGCTTTTCTCTGGGAGACTCTGTAAGCATTACCTCAAAACACTCCAAAGGCTTTGTAAGATAGGGTGGGGACAAATACTACTCATACATTCCAAATGGGGAAAAAGAATTTAGAAACACGTTGAGTAGCTTTTGACAAAAGCCCCATATCTCCACAGAAGACCCTGAGGGACCTTGGCTCTGGCTCCACATTCAGTCCTCAATTCAACACCCTCCCCTTGGAACAGAAGTCAGCTGGCTCTGGCTACCCAGAGGGACACTTTGTATTCCTGCTGGTGAAGCGACAATGGTCTAAAAATGGCAAAGCATAAAGACAGTCAGCTGTCTCTCGCTGTCTGTACACATCTGCAAAATACTATGAATTTATATATATAGTAACTGATTTGACCAAGTCTTCACACTTTACCTTGAATGATCACTAACCACAAATATTCTGCAGTGAATCTCTTTAAATTAAAAAAAAAGCACTATAGTAGCCCACATACGCGAGATTTACCCTCCTGAAGCTGAAAGTACTCTTTTCCTTCTCATTTAAAGTCACTAGTATATGTTTCTTCCTTGTAAACCATTCATTTCTAAAAAGTCTTATCAGAGTTCCTGAAACAGGAGGACAACAGGTAGAGAAATAAGCAATTTAATAAACCCAGATGTGAGCAGATGTTATGTTCAGGAACAGTCTTAAGAAGTGGCTTCCATGCATACACTTGACAGGTATTATCAAGCACCTTCTCTGTTCAGGCAAAGAGCTAACCCTCTGGGGATGCAAAATGAAGCCAAGCATCCCTGCCCTCCAGCCGCTTCCGGACAGTGCTTATCTCAAGGGAAGAGGTGTTAAGTGGCAGGCTGTTAGAGAATGTAGGTATGGAGATGGGATGCCTAAGGAGTGCATGGCCATCTGATGGATGGTCCTGAGGATGTGTGGAGAAGGGAGGATGGGTGGGTGAGGGCGCTGTAGACATTAGACCCTGAGGCAAGAGCACAGGAGCAGGGTGCGGCTTGCAACTGAGGTGCAGATGGCAATTTGAAGCGGCGAGGTTGGAAGTGAAGACAGAGGGAGGTATGGGAAAGGTGGAAGGCACACCGGAAGTTCTGTTCACCTTGAAAAAGAAGAATGAGGGTTTATTCAGAAGATGATAGGAAGCCACCAGCATAGTTTTTTAAAATTCCACTAGTGAAGTATAACATATGTAATAAATTTACCTATTTTAAACAAACAGTTCCATGAGCTTTGACAAAAGTCTATATGGAATAAACAGCACCACAGACCACTCACCATCTATCACCCAAAAGCTTCCTGCCACCCCTCACAGTCAACCTGCCTTTAGTCTGTTTCAGATAGAATAAAATGATCAAATTTGTACTTAAGAAAGACTGCTGGGCCAGGCATAGGGGCTCACACCTGTAATCCCAGCACTTTGGGAGGCCGAGGTGGGCGGATCACGAGGTCAGGAGATTGAGACCATCCTGGCGAACACTGTGAAACCCCGTCTCTACTAAAAATACAAAAAAATTAGCCGGGAGTGGTGGCAGGTGCCTGTAGTCCCAGCTATTTGGGAAGCTGAGGCAGAAGAATGGCATGAATCCGGGTGCAGAGCTTGCAGTGAGTGGAGATCACGCCACTGCACTCCAGCCTGGGCAACAGAGCGAGACTCTGTCTCAGAAAAAAAAAAGATAAAAATAAAAATAAAAATTAGACAGGCAGAATGGCAGGGGCCTCCAGTCCCAGTTACTCGGGAGGCTGAGGCAGGTGAATGGCGTGAACCCAGGAAGTGGAGCTTGCAGTGAGCTGAGATTGCGCCACTGCACTCCAGCTGGGCGTCAGAGGGAGACTCTGTCTCAAAAAATAGAAGACTGCTTTGGCAGCAAGTTGGGACGTGGCCTGTGACAGAAAGAAACCAGAAACAGAAAGGGTGGTAAGGAAACCATGGAAATAGGATAAGCTTAAATAAGGTCAGAACTACAGAGATAGATTCGTAAGAGAAAACAGGCAGCACCTTGTGGCAAGATATTATCAGAGTCTGTATCCTTGGGGTCAAAGGCTTTCAGGGGCCAGGTGGGAAATACACATTGGCAATCCAGGCTAGGACAGAAACACACAGGCCTGCAGAGGCCTGCGGCAGCCAAGCTCTGCCCTAAAGTCATTCAGATCCAAATTCTACACTTCCTGCCACACCAGACTCCAGTCTGCAGGAGCACCATAAACTGTGGGAGAAAGAGGAGATGAAGAGCAGAAAGAAGAGATGACTGAGTGAGTTTTGACAGAGCAAGTCAGAGACACCTGGAGCACGTCCTGGCAGCAGGCGGACCTGAGCTCAGGCTCATGAGAAATGCTGGAGCAGGAGACAGATTTGAGAATTGTCACCACCTGGCAAGAGTTAAAGCCACCAGTAAGAAAGAAGTCAGCACTAGAGCATGGCACCAGGATTCCAGGGACAACAGGGAAGCCAGTAGATGGTGGGAAGAGTGGGACGGTCACTTGTGAAATGAGCTTAGGGAAGCTGTACACTCACTTGTGACATGAATTTAGGGAGCTGCACGCTCACTTGTGAAATGAACTTAGGGGAACTTCACACTCATGAAATGACCTTAGGGGAGCTGCACACTCACTTGTGACATGAGCTTGAGGGAGCTGCATACTCACTTGTGACACAAGCTTAGGGAGAGCTGCACACTCACTTATGAGATGAGCTTGGGGGAGGGGCACATTACTTGTGAAATGAGCTTAGGGGAGTGGCATGCTCACTTGTGACCTGAGCTTAGGGGAAGCTGCACACCCACTTGTGAGATGAGCTTAGGGGAGTTGCACACACTTGTGAGATCAGCTTAGTGGGAGGGGCATGCTCACTTTTGAGATGAGCTTAGAGGAGTGGCACACTCACTTGTGCGATGAGCTTAGGGGGAGGGGCGCACTCACTTGTGAGGTGAACTTGGGGGAGCTGCACACTAATGAGACGAGTTTAGGGGGAGGGGTGCACTCGTGAGATTAGCTGAGGGGAGCAGCACGCTCACTTGTGAGATGAGCTGAGGTGGAGCTGCACACTCACTTGTGAGATGAGCTTAGGGAAGTGGCACACTCACTTGTGACATGAGCTTAAGGGGAGCAGCACACTCGTGACATTAGCTTAGCAGGAGTTGCACACTCACTTGTGACATGAGCTTAGGTGGAGGGGCACACTCACTTGTCAGATGAGCTTGGAGAGAAGGGCGCACTCACTTGTGAGATAAGCTTCGGGGAAGGAGCACACTTGTGAGATGAGCTTAGGGGAAGGAGCACATTCACTTGTGAGATGAACTTAGGGGAAGGGGTGCATTCACTTGAGATGAGCTTAGGGGAGCTGACACTTGTGAGATGAGCTTGGGGGAAGGAGTGCCCTCACTTGTGAGATGAGCTTAGGAAGAACTGCACACTCACTTGTGAGATGAGCCTGGGTGAGGGGCACACTCGTGAGATCTTAGGGGAGCAACACACTCACTTGTGAGATGAGCTTCTTCTGAGCTTCCTGCATGACTACATTTGCCAAGGCCATGTCATCTTCTTCCATAAGGAGGTCCTTGTCTGGTTTAGATCTCATTGCCAAAAGCTTGATCTCCTTTGAGCTGAGGACCTCGAATGTGTCTGAGAGTAACTCACTGGCATCCAGGTCCAGGGGTAGGATGCCATCAGCAAAGCACGCTGAGAGAGAGAGAGAGAGAGAGAGATAGAGAAATGTGAGCTTCTGTGAAATGCTCTGGCCCAGAGAGGAGGTGTAATTCACACAACTGGGGGGCTGTCTGAGGCTGTCAGGGGGTCTTGCAAGGGTGTTCTGTCTGGGGCACAGCTGATGCCAGAGAAGGACAAGATGACAGGGGTCTTCCTGCAGTGCCAGGGTCTCCTTTACTAGAGGCCTGCTGGGCCGTTACCAACAGAGCATTTCATTTGCAAACACATATATTTTCTCCCACACACTGGGCTTACCCAAAATACTAAGGCAGATTTTGGAAGTGATGTTGAATCGCTGTTCATCTGTGAAGTGCTCTAAAAGAAATTTGTAGATTTTCATTCGTCTCTCTTTGTTTGACTTTCCCTTCAATGAAAACAGCCGCTTCTCTCTGTGGCAGAATAGGACAATTTTACTGCGTCACGTGGGCACGGGTGTAAGGGATTTAACACTGCATTTTAACTGCATCCTAAAAGCTGTATACCAAAGACTCAAGTGCACTACAGAGATCCCAGCGCTCATCGCAGGCACTGCCCTTAGGAAGCGATTCTCACGACTGCATTTTCTTACGCCATCCTGCCAGGCCACAGTAAAGACCTGGAGCAGGGTCTGTGTCCAACCACTATATGCAAAGAGCCAAACCTTCCCCAGATTCCCCCAGCTCTTACCCAGATACAAGGAGACAGCCTGAGCTGCTTCACTGACCTCTCGGACTGGGGGAACTTGTTATACTTCTCATGCTTCTCATAGTTATTAAAGTGAAAAATACACTCAATGAAGTGCTGGAAGAACATGACAGGGTTCCTCTTCAGTAACAGGTGAGCCAGGCAAAACTTCCCGAAGCTGCAAAGGTGAGAGAAACAAAGAGGGAGACCCATTTGCTACACACCAACAGTCTCTGAATACACCAAGAACTCTGCTGAGCAGAAGACAGCTGTACATAAGCAAAGGGATTCAAAATCTATCCCAACGCACAGCTCCCTCGGACCTGAAGAAGACAGAAATTCCGCTACTTGGTCTGTCCTTGCTCCACGGCTTGCTTTCTCATCCGAGCGTATTTTTTCCCCCAGGTTTCCTTTTCAGACTTAACGGAAGGTGTTGCCATCCAGCTGCAGTTCAAGTGGGGAAAGCAAACAACCAACCTAACCCCAGCGCTGCTTCTGCAATCAGAGGCCAGTGGTCTTACAGGACTGATGCAATGACAACGGTCATTCACCTCCCAGCTTCAAGTTTGTTGCCCACAATTATGAACGAAAAACAATTTTAGTAACTGGAACTTATTTCAAGAACAAGGATTAATGACAAGAGCTTCACAGTTTGGATCAGGAAGACAAGTTTCCTCTGCAGAGCAACTGACTCAATGCGCTTTGAAATCACCAGCAAGCCCTGGGCACTCTCCTTCCACCCACGCCCTCAACACGTCTGTGCAATGCTGCACATGGGACACGGACGCCACCAGGACCCCACCAAAGCGAAGATTTCCAACGCCTCATGTAAACAGGCAAGGCCACTGGAGACTTTCCGTTCATCGCGGAAGTAGGTGCCAGAACGCCAAAGCACCGATTTTTGCTCAGGGGTTAAACTAACATGGTGCAGGGCTCACTGTGATCCACTCACACTGTCAAGGCCAGTGTTTTAATTGAATTTCAGAGCTCAAATGCAATTTCTGCCCACACAGGAGCACCAGTCAGCTCTCCTTGGGAGGAGCAGCAGCATCAGACTGTCCAGGAGACTGACCTCTCCTTTCCCCAGTGGTGCTCCTTATGCCAAAATTCAAATCAGTTTGTGTTCACAGCACACATATCAATTAAAAATCAGAGAAGGTAGATGAGAAATCATGATGGAAGTAAGCCTAGATAAAAATTCCACTGTAGATAATTACACCTTGACTATTCACCTAGGAAACAAGGGAGCAGCTTGACCTAGAAATATGAAAACAAAATAAATAAAACTGTATTTAATAATGAGAATTCCATGAGGCAAAATTCAATTAAGGACAACTAGAAGCACCTGTCTGATCTAAGAGTAGTCAGTTATGTCTTGTACAAATTATGTTGTTTAATGACTCATGTTTGAAAGGCAAAGGTCATAGGATCAGATGAAGTTCTTTCTAAACATGGGTTACTTTGGCAAACCATCTGTGACAGGAATGAAAAAACCACTGAACAAACAAGAATTTATCTTCTGTGGTATTTTATTATAGTTAATCCATTCTGGCATGGCAGTTTCTACATTATGCGAACTTCCTCCTCAGAAATGAAGTCACATATACGAAAATGTAAAGCCAGATAGAATCAGCAAATCTTCCACAAGAAGAGGGTGCACTCTGAGTTTTGACTTGATGTCATCGCCAATCGACTCAGTTTAGGTCAAGAATACATGTGGGTGGAGGTGACCAACAGGCACGATACTGTGGAGTTTAAGCCCTAGTGAAAAACTTGCTGAACCATCTATACAAATACATTCCATAGCAACATAAAACCATGCCAGGATTCACACGCTCAGGGCTGATAATGTAGTCACAGAGCTTTCCAGCAAGAGAAACTGGAAGCCACAGCCAATGTGTGATATCCACAACTCATCTTGGCTGCTGTATTCACTGGGACTTTATTAAAATGGCAAGTTTCAGCCTTGATTAGATTAAGATGCACAGATCCTGCCAGCTTCCTAACTGGAGAAGAGGGACTATTTTGTTTCCTGTTTGTCTGCTGAAAAGTTAGGAGAAATTAACATTACAAGTAATGCTTCCTAGAACATTCCTTTAGAGTGACGAGAGAGAGCACTCTCCAGGTATGTGGATTAGGAAACCTCCAGGACTCTCAACAAATCTTAGTAAGCTGGGAGTTCGGTCAGCATCCTCTCCCCAGCCCTCAGGACAATCACTAAGAACACACATACCCACACCAACAACTCAGGGATGTGGTCTAGGGATTTCACACAGCACGGGCTGCATGAATTATATGGAACACAAAGGGAAGACCAGCTAAATCTGAGTGATTACCTTATTACAGCCTTGTAAAAAGAAGTTATTACTCTCTTACTAAGAATCAAAATCCAGGATATTCAAACAGCCCAAAAGGCCACAAGGTAAGAGCCGTGTGTCCACGTCTGTTTTCAGCTTTAGTAGGAAACATAAAAATCGGACTTCAGATTTCTTCATGAGCTGAATGCCATTCTGAAGCAGGGTGTCTGCTCAATAAAGGCAGACTCATGAGTTCATGCTGAACCCATGTTCCTGACCTGGCCGACAACACGTTTCTAGCTCAGGTTAGACCCATTGGTACCAGAATTCTACTTGAGGCTCGAAGCAGTATTTCCTGCACCCTAGTTCTCCCTGGCCACCACCCCAAATCCAAGCGCCTATGACGGTCTGTCTAGACCCTGTTCATCCCTGCGCTGCTGCTTCCTTCCTCCATGTACTCTACACTCCAAGTTCCACAGTGAATCAGGCCCTACCCTCCACCATGTACTCTACACTCCAGGTTCCACAGTGAATCAGGCCCCACCCTCCACAGCCGACTCTCAGGGCACTCCCTATGCTTCCTCTTTATAAACGTGGGCCGGCTGTCCTCCAAGCACACCAGTTCTCTCTCAGCCCTCCCAAGGGGAGGCTGCTTCATCCCTCAGTCAGAGGATGAGGAGCACATTTCCCGGACGCCCAGTGCCTTCCTGCCTTCACCCACCCAATGTTCACCCACCCAATGTTCACCGCATGTCTGCTTGGTTTCAGTTCCTTTTCAGGTGCTAGGGATGGGGAATAACAACCAAACTCATGCCCCTCAGGAAGTCTATACATAGCGTGTGGACCAAATAGTACGTTGCCAAAAGTGCTCTGACACTGGAAGACAACTAGGAAGCGGGTCCAGTGAAGTGCGGGGAGTGTGGGCTGGCTGCTGGTGAAGACGCACACAGGCTGCTGTGGCACCTGCAGACGGCCTCCACCTCCACCTCCCTGTGGTGCTCCCGCCTCCCTGTGGTGCTCCCGCCATCTGCCGTTTGTGCTCTGCTACCTGGTTCCCAGTCTTCCTCTCCATTCCAAATCCCCGTAGAACTCCCCATGCAGGTGAGCTACTGAATGCCCCAACTTTCTGCTTTCCTGACTTCACTGCTTCCAGTGAGCATCCCATCTGGACCCTGGGTCACCAGTGCAGCCACACCCTGGACCCTGTTGCCACACTGGAGATCAAAGAGTCCACTCGTGACTGCCCTGCTGATCCTTCCAGTGATCGGGTTCCTGACTCCCTCACCCCATTCCGATTGTTCCATGGCTTCACTAAGCCCTCCAGACAGTCGAGTGCTTGCTTCCTTTTCTCCCAAACCAGGCCATCCTTGTTGTTGCCCCCTTTTCTATCTCAATGGCCCATTATTTGAGTCGCTGTCCTGCCTTGAGCTTCTGACCCTGCCTCTCTGTATTTCTGTGGCAGTGCCCAGTTAAACTGAAATAATCTGCTTATTACTTGACTGTCGCCCTGTGATTACAAGGCCACCAGCTATTGGGCAGACAGGAAAACAGATCATAGAATTTTGTAGCCTCCAAATTTGGGGTTTATATGAGCAATTAAAAATGTCATACAGGCCGGGGTGGTGATTCATGCCTAATCCCAGCGCTTTGGGAGGCTGAGGAGAGAAGATTGCTTGAGTTCAGGAGCAACACAGTGAGAACCTAACTCTACAAAAAATAAAAAATTAGCTAACTATTTGGGAGGATGAGGTGGGAGGGTCATGTGAACTTAGGAGACTGAGGCTGCAGTGAGCCGTGATTGCTCCATTGCACTCCAGCCTGGGATAGCCTTTGGCCTAAAAATCAAAAGTCAGGCACAGAAATATATATATATACCACATATTCTCACTCATATGCAAGAGTTTAAAAAAGGTAGGGTCAGAGAAGCAGAGAGTAGAATTGTGGTTATTAGAAGCTGGGAAGGGTACGGAAAGGCTGGTTAACAAATATAAAATTACAGGAGTATGTTAAAATGCTCAACAGCACCGTAGGGTGAATATAGTTAACAATAATTTACTGTCTATTTTCAAAAAGCTAGGAGAGAGGATTCTGAAAGTTCCCAACACAAAGAAATGATAAATGTTTGAGGTGATGGTTATGCTAATTACCCCGATTTGATCATTACATGTTCTATACATATATCAAAATACCACTCTCTATCCCATAAATATGTATAATTATTACACGTCAAATAAAAATAAAAGGAAAAATTTCAGAGAACAGACTAACTTAAATTATAGTTAGCAAATGTAGTCATCAGCTTTTCAAAGCTGAAAATCATGAAAATCATGAAAATCTAATTTGAACCATGGTTTCAACAAACCCAGAATGCAGACATAAAAGGGAAAGATTAAGGGGGACGTATTAAAACGCTAGAAGAGGCCCTGGTAATCTTACTGCACTATAAAGTGTATCTATGCTTTTCATTTGATTGATGATCTGAACACCCATATGTACAAATCCTGCATATAGTTTACTCATTGATCAATGCTCTTTTTCACATACATGTACAGGAGCTAACAACAGTGGGGAAAAATGAGGAAATGCAGGTTAAGTAGCTGATTTTACCTCCCAGGTGCATCACCTGAAAGCATTCCCAGACTGTCTGATTACACCTTCTCCTGGGCCATGCACTGTGTAGAAAGCCCTCAGAGTCAGTATAGTGGACACATTGTAAAGGTAAGAGGGTGTGCGAAGGTATCTAAAAAAAAGGTGACAGCCTTAACTTTTTGCTTTTGTTCTGTGAAATGTTCCCCTTCCTTGGAAAATTACACCTAAAGAAAACTGAGCAGAAACTTCCACGGAACTCAGACTAAATTATTGGTAGCTATATTTAGATCCAGAGGGACCCACTGTTACCAGCCATTTATAGTTAATGAGCTCTATAAAGAGCTCTTCCCCACTGTGGGGCTTTTGCCGTGGCATCCAACATTCTACTTTCCAATTGCAGACTTGCTTTAAAAAGAATTAGTTACAACAAACTCTAAGGTAGCAAATTCTATCAGGCCATTTCTCAGCCCCTTGAAAATAAATCTTTAAAAAAATGATGCAATGATAGAAATTAATAATTGCCAAAGTCACTCCCCCACGCTATACAAGTCTGAAGAACTGCCCATTTCCAAGGAGTCTTGTCATCTGTACACTTGATTCCACACTGTGCAATTTCATCTTAATTCCTAGTTTCTTCCTTAAAATTTCTGCACTTAGAAGTCTCAGCTCTTTATCAAAATTAACTTTTTTTGGCCTAGAAATTAACAGTGAATTTCTAGTGACTGCTCCTCTATACAGTGTAATACAACAAGCATATGATATTCTTCATGCTCCTTCAGGAACAGCAAACTGTCAGCAAGTGCAGTCAGTGCTGAGATGATCCAATGATGAATGTAACCATTTTCTTTTAAACTTGTGTGCAAAATAAAGGTTTGTTATATTGCTTAGTATCTTAAAAACCTGTTAATTTTTCTGGCACCCACCAAAAGCTCACTAAATCCTACTTAACTCTAAACCAATCTGGAAAAAAAAAAGAAATCCAGCATACATCAGAAATGAGGTAAACTGTTCAGTTGTCTAACGTGAGGAAAAGATTTACCTGGCAATGTCTGGGTGTGAATCTATCAGAGTGCTGACAAATCGAAAGAACAGGGAGCCCTTCCATTTCACAAATTCCTCCTGTACAGAGAAAAGCCGGCATGTTTCAGAGTGTGTCATCATGGGCAAGCCTCACTGTTCCCAGCCACACTCCCCCCACCACGCGGTCTGTCCCCGGCACACTGGCTCAGTGCACAGGCACACGCTTCCAAACCGTCGGAATGTAGTGCAGAGAAGTATATGCACGGAACGTCACCTTTCTACCACAGGAGAAAAATGCCTCAAAGCACGTGGCATTAGAGGGATGGTGCCACCCTCTCTATATAATACAGTTCGTAATATATGAAAAGATGAGCATACAGAACATACCAGGGCAGACATACAACCTAAGTGGAAGGCCTTCCCTTCAAAAATCAAGTATTATGTTCTCCCCATTATAGGCCAAACACAGACTCTCAAAGTGTATAAAAATATCTAATGCTCTGAAGAGCTCTATAGTTCACTACGTTCTTCTGCACCCGGGAACACCCCACCAGACTCGCAGAGCCGCGCAAACACCATGATCCCCATTTTACGAAGGAAGAAGTTAGATCTCAGAAATGTGGACTTGTCCAAGTTAAAAAAGAGTAACAGAATTCAAACTAGAACTACCTGTCCACTGAATGTGCTTTTCTCTACATGGTACTTATTTTCAAAATGAAACTTCACACTGCTTGACAGGATGTCTGAACAAAGTCCCAAAATGAACATTCACAAGTAACACTGTTTATAAGAGGTTGCGCTGAACATCAGAAGAGCAATACTCCAGACCAGAGATGAGACAACTGTTTTTGGATTCTACTACAAAGCAAGCACATTTCCTATGCTACTCAAATATTCCCTTAAACCAGAAGCCATGGTGGAGGGGAAAGGACAGGTGGAATCCTCCTACGCACCTGCAAGAGATTGGTAAGCAAGATGAGTGTCTGCTTCCGGATGAATGGGTCAGAATCCTTCAGACACATGGAAATGTTGGGAATATACTTGTCCACCATGATGGTGTAGCGAATGCAAAGATCGCACATCACAATGATGACGTTGTTGCGGACAGCCACATCCTCACACACCTCGAGCTCTCGCACCAGGGCTGGGATGCTCTTCTTTGCCAGATCCTCGTGCTGTAAGCACAGCTTACCTGGCACAGAACACAGGAAGATGTCTCAACTGTATTCTAAATCCTAATTCCATTCCTGAATTTTCTCCAGATACATCTTGCTAATGGCTTCTATTTAATCAAAGTTAAAACATCATGCCCACAATCACAAACAACAAAAAACGAAAGGCAGACAGACTCATCTTGAATATTCTAATAAAAATACCTTAAGGAGAAATAAACTCCCCCAGGAGTTATATATTACGGGATGTTCCTTTACACTAATAAAATCATCTTCCTTTTAAAGTCAACATTTGAATTTCGCAGTTATCCACTTACCTGGAGAATGATCAGCAAAGCCTGAGAGATGAAACATTTTACTCCTGATTATACATATCCTCTACAGATGCTAAATACCCCATGCTGAATTTGAAATCTGAGCTAGGTAAATAGGAAAGAATGCATGTCCCCTTTCTTTCTTGTTCACAGTTGAAAAGCCTGCTGAGTTTTGTTTGTAGGTTTCTTTTGTGCCTGGGAAATGTTTCGCAATTCTTAGGTATTTGAAAATTAATATTACAAAAAAATTAATAACTTATGTAGCATGAAATATACACTCACACTAAAGGGAAAAAAAAATTCCCAGCATAGAGGTCAGTGTTTTCAAGATTAAAAATAGTTTGAGTTCATGGAGAAATATGTAAATAGTCATCTCTGCCCAGTTCTGCAAAGTATTAAATAAACCATTTCCTTTTATGGAAAATTTATTTCTTCGTTTCCGGAACTCAGTGCAGCATCCGGCAGGTCTTGATGAACAGACTTCGTGGTGCTGCATTATGAGTATAAAAAAATTACAGGAGTATTAAAGTCAAGTGAAGGTACTGGAAAAAATTACAGAAGCAGGGATAATTGTAATAAATTAACATAATCGTACTAGGAAACACAAGCTCCCTCTAGAGAGTACCTGAGTCTTACCGTCTTGGGGCGCTGTCAGCCTGAGGGCTCTCAGGACCAGCACGTGGTGAGGCAGAGCTCAGCACTCAGATCAGAGTCACCTCTAGGAACCATATGGGCCAAGAGCAGACACAGACAGGCTCGGCAGCCCCTGACACATTCCCATGGCTGCGCTTACTTAAGACAACAGCTACACACAGAACTTGATGTCAAGCCCTATTCTCCCACGTTTTTCTTACCTAAGGTAATGATAGCATGTGCTCTAATCACAGAGGGCATGACAGAACCTCTGACCTGGGAGGGTGGCTGAGATGCTGGGGCATCACTGCTGCCTTGAGATGATGGTACTGCAAGGAAGGGAGAGAAAGTCACTGACAGAACCTTGAACCGGCATGCATGGTACAGAGTATGATTTCAAATGCCTTACAATGGTCAGCATCAGCAGACGAAGCCAGGACGGACTGAATCAGAAGGAAGATGCGCTTCTCCACCCTGGCTGGACACAGCTGGGCTATATCCCCTAATGTAAAAATGTACTTCACCTACAAAAATAATTGGTTTTACAGTAAAAATAAGGCAAAAGAAAAGTGAACTCTAGCTAGATTAAGGACATGTCAATGGAGTATTTCCTTTATCCCCCAAATTTAAAACAGTGTTACTATTTTTTTGTTTCATAAAAATACATGGCTATTGTAAAAACTTAGTCACTATGTAATGAAACTCATCCAAAATTAGGACAACCATATAATTTTATCACCTAAATCTAGACAACTCTGCAAGTAAAAGGGGGTGCTATTAATAATTATATTGTGAAAAATAGGTGTACACCAGGGTTATCTTGGGTAAACTGGGATACAGAATCACCTACCTATAATCCTACCACCCAGAAACATCATTGTTTTCGTGTATAACTTTTTCAAAGTATTTCTATAGTCACATGGCTTTATGTTTACTTTTCTTACACACTTCTCAATTATAGTAATTTGAAGTCTGCAATGATTACTTTGAATATTAGGCATTTCATGTCAACATATATGACATATATCTTTAATGACTACATAAGTATGCCATTTTAAAACTAGGACTGTCATCATAACTTACTGCACTACTTCAGCATTAATGAACACTGACGCTGTTTCGCTTTGCTAATGTTTCCATCAGCTCTGGTGAACACCTGTGTATCCTTAGATACTGTTCTCTTTCCTCAGAAGTAAAATCCAGGGTAAAGAGTGTATTAAGCTATTTTACATTCTGAAACATATTTTCAAGTTGCCCTCCAGATTATTTTTCCATGCAGACCCCATCCAAAACCTACTCACGGCTGCCACGCTGCCTTTATTCGTAACATTCAGTTTAACAACTAAGTAACATTGTTCTTTTTTAATTTATGCCCCAAATGGAGGGATGATGATGAATAGTAAAATGTCAAATAAAAGCTTATACTGGGTAAGAAAGCCAATAACAAAGTATATGAGTTTAAAAGAATCTTGAAATACCGTTATCTCTTCATTAAAAAATATTTAAACTCTATTTAAAGAAGCAAGAATGAAACTATGTATATAGGGAAAAACCTCTTCATATATATTTTGACTGAAGAGTAGATTTTGATGACACGGTTAACAGTTGAAAAAAATGTGGGGGAGGGGGGTGGAGACAGGACTCACTAACCACAGTAAGCATCTTTCTTAGTGTGGGCAGGAATGAGAAGAGCAAGACCCTCTGGAAACCCTGGGCCAGGCCTGTGCTACGCTCCCTGGCCCTCTCACCTAAGCATCCAGGTTCCCACGGTGAGGCTTTTTATTACTGAACACGGGCACAGTACTGCCTCAGGCGCAATGGTCTTCACTTGTAACAAATCTAAACTTGGTCTGTGATCACTGGGAATTAGGAGAGCTAGGCTAACAAGTAGAAACTCAACACAGAAAAGATGTGCTCTGCTAATTTAAATATATGAGAAAACCGGCCAGTTTTGGTTAAATGATGACCTGTATTGAATGGCATCAAAAAGCAGCTCATTATTTCCTTTACTGGACAGAGTCAGATGTTGGAACCAGAATTACTGCCATACATCTTGTCCCCAGTCAGCCACTGAAATCAGCCAACTGTCCCGTCCTGGCTCACAGGAATCTCTTGCACTGTTTACAGTTTCTAAAGCAGGGGTGCCGTGGAAAACAATCTTGGGGCTCCAAGGTCATCTGTGTTTTGAATTGTCAAATCTTTATTTCAGTCATTACTTTGCAATTGCTCAGCACTATTCCCCAGTTCTACTGTCTGCTGTTTCAAACTGCTCAGAAGACATGTTAAATTTTTTAAAAAGCAAACACACAAACCGAAAAGAGTATACTCACATTATTTCTTACCTTATATTTCTAAGCTTGACTATACCAACCTTACAACACACACTGTGTTTTCCCTACTGAAATCAGGCTTCTCGTAAGATTGAACTAGATGAAGTATATACCACTGAGTTTCCCCCCGATAATAAGTATATAAGAAACAAATGAATAGGTTATCAATTTAAAAATATCTTCTAAAAAGAGAGAGTAAGCTCTAGGCTAAGACAGCCCTTTTGTTAAAAGCATTTAAAGTGTACATTACAAAGTCATCTTTAACAAAACCTCACTGATAAAATGGAAGCGTAAAGAACGTTTAGGAAAAGCAGTCACTTACCAACAGGTCTTCGTCCATATTCCCTGTTCCATTCTCCTTCAGAACGATGTTGGAGAGGCGGTGCTCACAGGTGGAGAGGACATCCCCACACACCTGCTTCAGCAATTCCTACGGCAAGTCAAAAGTCATCTCTGAAGGGCCCCGCACATCTCCCAGATGACCCATGAAACACCATGTTCTCAGAAGAAACTGATCTTCAAATGGATAGGCTGTAGGGGTGCTTTCTATCCTTCCTCTTTCCCACAAGTTGTCCAAAACCACAACGACATGCATTTAGAAACCTAGCCATGAGTTCTGGCTAAGTGGAATTTATAAACAACAGCGTATATATCATCTTTCTTTCTACATTTGCCCTATAAGAGCAAAAGGCCAAATATTTACAATGACCCCAAGCAGTAATTTATAAGAGATCTATAATAGTAGTGCTCCTCCAAAAATACAGAAATAAGTTGTAGTTTTGCTGGCATATACAGATGATGAATTAACTACTGTGATAAACATTTTTTAAAGACATAAAATAAAGAGTTGCTATTCTTCTGAAATTTATTCATTAGGAACAAGTTTTCCGTGTCTCTTACTGATTACAATAACTTCAAGGGGTCACCTCTAGTGTTCCTCTATGCGAAGGAAGAGAGAGCTCCCAACCGCATTCCAGAATTCTTGGACCTCATTTTCTGTGGGAAACCATTCCAAAACACCTAGGTTGAGCTAAGTGCTTCCATCCCCTTGCTTCCATGTTACCCGATGCTGATTTTTATTTTAGGAATAATTACATTATGCTGAAATTATCTGCTGATGTGCATACACCCACCCTACTCCTCTGCAGTGCCTTAGGAAGGGACCTGTGTTAACCATTATCCAGTGCCTAGCAGTCCACAGCCTGGCACTATGAGCAATGCTTTTAGCCTGACTTGCCCTAATATGTCTTGAAACTATTGCCTTTATTACTTTTAAAATAACTATTACACTTAAAATTTTAACAGCTTGCACAACCTGGACCACAACATTGGCCCACAGAGTTTCTGCAATTCTTATGCTTGATCCCGATGAGGCCAGAACCTGGGTAGTATGACTGGTAAGTTTCGGTATGACAGAATCTGGGAAAGCCGACAAGGCCACCCGATCCTGGCATTCTCTCCACATGGCAGCGTGTTCCAAGTTCTTGTCCAGCTTCTCCTGAATGCCTCTAATAACAAGGGACATGCTCTGGGATAAGCCCTCCATTTTAGGCAGACCTTAGTAAGTTTTCTCTTCAGTGCACCAAAATGTATAATTTCCATTCATTGGTCCAGACAGGTTGTCTGGGAATACCAAATAAATCCAATTCTTTTATTTGAAAGTCCTTCATAAATTTGAATTTAGCTAGGCAGCCTACCATCCCCAACGCTTCCCCTCTCCATGCTAAAGGCTCCAGGCCCTTCTGCAGTTCCTTACATAACTTGCTTTGTGATGCCCTTATTTAGCTGCTCTCCTCTAGTTATATTCAATTTCATCAACACTTCTCTGTAAATTTGTCACTGATACTGAATTATAGAATGTGTCAACTTCGATTTAGCCAGGACACAGGACCACTGCTCCTCTTGTTCTAGACACTATTTCCACTAATACAGTCCAAGATCTCATCAGTTTTTTAATGACAGCCACAAAACACATAACACAAATGCCCAAAGACAACAGTCCTTTCATATATACTGCTGCTGAGCTATATCTTTGGGTAATCTGTTGCTCTCAGTAAAATAAATGATATTCACTTACAGAGAAAAGAAAAGGAGAAATGTGTTTAGAAGAAACAAGTGGGTCACATGGATTGAAAATATCCTAACATTCCAGAAAATCTCAGGGCCTTGCTCCTCTGTCAACCACCAAGTGAGGCTGTGTCGGCAGATTAAAACCGTGAGGTTGTGTCGGCAGATGAAAGCCGTGAGGCCGTGTCGGCAGATGAAAACCGTGGCAGTCTTTGCTAACGCAGTAGTAACCCCACCTGTTTCCAGCTCTCAGTGTCTAACCTGAAGACAGTTCCTTGCCTTCCTCACAGGCTCTCATGACAATGTAACCACCGTCCTAATGGCCCTGGGCCAGCAGCAAGCGGCAGATGACTTCCTAGGCCCTGACTGCGCGCTGTACACATGATTCTTTTTCCAACCAGTGCTGGTGAAAAGAAAATTAGGAAAAAGTCAGAGGCCTTAGTTCTAGTCCCAGCTCTGCCGGTAGTAAGTTGTGTACCACTGAGCCTGGAAGACTTGCAGTTTCATAGTCCGTTACGTAAATTCCTCCCTGATCACTCTTTCCTCAGTCTTACCATGCCTGTAATCCTAGCACTTTGGGAGGCTGAAGCAGGCGATCACTTGAGATCAGGAGTTTGAGACCAGTCTGGCCAGCATGGCAAAACCCTGTCTCTACTAAAAATACAAAAATTAGCTGGGCCTGATGGCATGTGCCTGTAATCTCAGCTACTCAGGAGGCTGAGGCACAAGACTTGCTCGAACCCAGGAGGCGGAGGTTGCGGTAAGCTGAGATTGCGCCGCTGTACTCCAGCCTGGGGGACAGAGCAAGACTCCATCTCAAAAACAAAAATAAAAGTTTTTCATATAATTTCTTGGGTCTTGAGAAAAAGGGTTAGAAAAATCAAAGAATGCAAGTATCCCTTTCACCAATAAAAGAGCCTAAAGATAGATACCAGAAAAACACCAGACACCATTTCATAAGAAATAGGTCAACAGTCTTAAGTCCCAAGCAAAAAAGTTACAATCGTCGTTTTAATTGATCTGTTAGAAGTAGAAAATGTAACATCTTAAGGAAGGGTTTTCTTTTATGAACTTGGTCAAGAAAAGGAAGCATAGGAAGGTAGTTGGAGAGATCAGCTGAAGCCATCATTTTCTTTTATTCTGGAAAACTTAAATATATTCCAGCAATTATTTAATTTTTGTTTTCTGTAGCCATTATTAATAACCCCAGCTCTAAATTTTTTCGTTAGGATTGGTACTAAGAGTGTATCTCCTGATTAAAAACAGAATAAATATATGGTAATAAAATGATTTCTTCAGAGTTACTGGTATGCATACCCTTTAAGGAGTCAAAGTAACTCTCTGCCTCATATAAATTGCTGATTTGGATTTGTGTTTATGCATATATAAAAACATTAGCTGCGGGCTGTAGCCAACTTTGGGGACATGATACCAACAAGAGATATTTGAGTAGTGTAACCTCATCGTAACCATCGTAACCGGACAGGCATGTCCAAGATTATAATTTATCAAAAGGTCAGAAAACTGTTCTGGAGGGAACTTCCTGCTTAAGTGGAAAATTGGCTATAAATGTTCTTGGAATGAGAGTGGAGGTCAAGGAGAAAGATAACCTTGCAGAATTCTCACCAGGAAATGACAGACAGTCAACAGGAGTGCCTACCTAAAGACACCTGTCCCTGCGATCAAGGTGGTGACCATCTACGGGAGCCATTTCTCTTTAGCAGCTCAATCTTCTTGGGGAATGTCAATTGCCGGTTATGTAAACCTTGCCTTGTCGCGGCAATAGCTGCTGGGGACATCCTTACATGTCCTCTTATTTACAGAACATGCTCCTCAAACTTCAAAACACATACAGTAACACCCTAAGCACAAAGAAGTCAGAAACGTATCAGGGAAAGTCTGGCCATACCTGCTCCTCTGCTGGTGTCTCTGCAGATGCTCTACAAAGCCTCTGCAAAGCATCCACAGCTGAACTGATCACCTCTAGAGACCACTGAAATCCACTCAGCTTACGCTTGACAGCATCTACGAAGGAAGTCAAAATCCCCGAAGTTCAACTGCTTAAATATATTCAGGTACACACACACACACACACACACCCCTGAAATGAACAGCAATGCATTTTCAAGTAAGATTCTCCAACACACTCACCAGTCACTTTGTCCCGGGTGCTCTTAGGAAGATGCTTTGCAATATGTCCAATCACACACAGAATATGTCCTAAGGTGTTTGAATTGGGATTCTGCTGACTAGAGAAAGGGCAGGAGAAATACCAAGGGAGAAGCAAGTTAAACACTGCTGCCAACAAAGGCCTTTCTTCTGGATTATTAACACTGGAGGAAGCAGGGTAGGCAGCACGGCTTAGGAGTCAAGCTGTGGGAACATCAAGGCACTTACTGTACTTGGACAAAGGGGAAATGGGTTAAACGTGATTCTTATTTTTTCATGCTTGTTTTTATACCAGGTTTTAAACAGAAGATCTCTGTATATGAACAGCTATGAAAAAGGCCCACTTCCTTAAGCCTTGGGCTTTGTTTCTAAAGACTCTTCAGTGTCATTAGTGGTCAAATCAGAAGATACAAACCTGCTGATTTTCTCCCAGGACTGTATTATTCTGCTGTAGTCCAGCCTGGGTGAGGAGCCAGCAATCTTGGAAAGCAGCATCCAGGCAGGTGCCGAATGTTCCGTGCCAGTGTGAGAGATTATATTGTTTACAAAAGTGGATGAGAATTTTTCTTTCTTGGACCAGATATGAAAAGCCTTATTTAAATATCGGCTAGAAAAAAAAAAAAAAAGATAGAAAAGCAGAATTGCAACTGTAAATATACAACACAATTCAGACAGCGCCTCACTGAAACAGTATCAACTTCTGCTGCTCCAGGACTCATGTGGCACATGAAACTTCCACAGATTTTCCTAATTAGTGGCATGTCTGATATCAAACTAGGTATCTTTTAAATTTTTATTATTCTATAATCAGTTATATTCATTTTTCCCCTCATAAAATATTTCTTAAAGCAAAGAATAAAATTTCACGATTCATTTGAGACTCTCCTCTCCTCCGAAATTTCTACATAACTGCCTGGGGTCAGTTACAGATACATCCAGAGCTCACACAGTTATAGTGACAAAAATTAGTAACACTGTCCTTTTTTCAATGGAAGGATTGTAAATGACAGCCTCACAATTAAACATGATATTGAATGAGCTAAAATATGCAATAACTTAATACCACTCAGAAATAGATATTTCAAACCTTTTCAAAACAGAAACAGTGCTTCTGATGTACTAAAGTGCTTGTGTTATACTAGTATTTTTTGAGACAGGGTCACATCCTGTCACCCAGGCTGGATCACAGTAGTATGATCACAGCTCTCTGTGTAGCTTCCACTTCCTAGGTTCAATCAATCCTCTTCCCTCAGCCTCCAGAGTAGCTGAGACTACAGGCATGGTCATCATACCTGGCTAATCTTTTTCCCTCTTTCTTTCCCTCTTTCTTTCTTCTCTTTCTCTCTTTCTTTTCTCTCTATCTCTCTTTCTTTCGAGACAGGGTCTCGCTATATTGCCTAGACTGGTCTTGAACTTCTGGGCTTAAGCCATCCTCCTGTCTTGGCCTTCCAAAGTACTGAGATTATAGTTGTGAGCCACTGTGCCTGGCCGTCACCGTTGTTTTAGAACTATCTCTTATTTTACTTCTTCCCATGTCACTGAATGGGATCATATGACTCATGAGACAATGCCATATATATATTTAAATGAAGAGAAAAATACACCTCTTCCCTTGATTAATTTTTCTTAAGACTTCTGGGAAAACATATACACATACATACACACACACACACATCGGGAATTCCTCATTAAATTGTTTTTAAAAGGGAAATTCTCAGAGCATACAGAACAAGGTAACTATAACAAAATAAACACATCTATATACCATAATAAGCATATGCATATAAATGAAGTTTTGTTAATATATCAGCTATTAAAAATCCATCCACAGATGTCGAATCTTACTACAGTTAGCTTACAACATGATTTATGTTTGACTTATGTCCAAATACCACAAGATACAAGCAATGAACAAATATTTTAAAATTTATTTTAAAATAATTATATAAAATATTAAGTAATGTTTATTATATGTAGCCAACAGAATGGGAAAAAAATTCTCTGAACTTGCAGAGTTCAGAAAACTTGTAGAAATCTCAAACTTGGCTCCTCTTTGACAACTCCCAGCCCTCCACTCCCACCCAGCCTCCCAGCCCAGCTGAGGGCCACAGCCATTCCCCACCTGGGCACACTGTGACCCAACACACTAACCTCTAATCTTAGTACCAAAACCAACGGCCATGCTTCAGGCCCATCTCCATGGCCTCCATCAGAGGTTACTGACTACTCCTTTTGCACTGAGACTCTGGTCCACCAGCTGGATCTCTTTTCACCTCCTTTAACTAATTCCTGTCTTCTAATAACTAATTGCTGATTTGAAAAGCTCTATTCTTAGTCCTCTTATCTCCAACCTAACTCTGGGTGACCTCATGCATTACCAAGAGCTCCTAACTGAGATGTGATAAAGCATTCCAAGTCGAAGCTGGGCTTCCATCTCCAGCACGCCCTCCGTCCTCAATCTGCCTGACCTCTGCTCTCCACACCTATTGATCAAGGCATTTTCCTGAGATTTGGTAGAGCCTTCCGGCCTGAGCTTTCGCATAACTATGTCCTTCCTGGTAACCCTCACTATTCTGGCCGCTTAATTCTCACACATTCGCAAATATTCTGCCCATGCCACTGCTTCTGGGAAGCCAGCCTAAGCTAGAAGAAGAAAGAAGAAGGACAGGAAGAGGAAAAAGAGGAAGAAATAATCACCAAAATGCCACGTGCCTTTCCTCTGTTCTCCTGTAGCTCCACTTCCACTAAAATTGTGACTTGCTTTTGTCTATTTCACCAGACCAACTGGAGTAGAGGAAGTGCACTGAACTATACTGTGAATCTCCAGCACTTAGAACCAGTCCTGGAAAATGAAGTCCTCAAAATATGTTTGCTCAATTGAATCAACTATTTCCTCTTCCAATTCCTCCAAACCTCAGGCTCAGCTTTCATCACCTCTACCATTCCCTCCTATAGGGCCTTCACAGAGGTGATGAAGTTAAAATGTGGCTGTTAGGGTGGGCCCTAACCCAAGTTTAACGTGAGAGAAGAAGCCAGCTTCCTGGATCAAGTGGGGACTTGGAGAACTTTTCTGTCTAGCTAGAGGATTGGAAACGTACCAATCAGCACTCTGTGTCTAGCTAAAGGATTGTAAATGCACCAATCAGCACTCTGTAAAAATGTACCAATCAGCACTCTGTGTCTAGCTAAAGGATTGTAAATGCACCAATCAGCACTCTGTAAAAATGTACCAATCAGCGCTCTGCGTCTAGCCAAAGGATTATAAATGCACCCATCAGCACTCTGTAAAAACGCACCAATCAGCACTCTGTCTAGCTAAAGGACTGCAAACGCACCAATCAGCACTCTGTAAAAACGTACCGATCAGCATGCTGTGTCTAAAGGATTGTAAATGCACTAATCAGCTCTCTGTAAAAACGCACCAATCAGCACTCTATGTCTAGCTAAAGGATTGTAAACACACCAATCGGCATGCTGTGTCTAGCTAAAGGATTGTAAATGCACCAGTCAGCACTCTGTAAAATGGACCAATCAGCGCTCTGTAAAATGGACCAATCAGCAGGACATAGGCGGGGCCAAATAAGGGAATAAAAGCTGGCCACCCGAGCCAGCAGCAGCAACCTGCTTGGGTCACCTTCCATGCTGTGGAAGCTTGGTTCTTTCGCTCTTCACAATCTTGCTGCTGCTCACTCTTTGGGTCTGCACTGCTTTTATTAGCTGTAACACTCAACACGAGGGTATGCAGCTCCATTCCTGAAGTTAGTGAGATCACAAACCCACCAGGAGGAACAAACAACTCTGGACGTGCCACCTTTAAGAGCTGTAACACTCACTGCGAAGGTCTGCGGCCTCACTCCTGAAGTCAGCGAGACCACGAACCCACCAAAAGGAAGAAACTCCAGGCACATCTGAACATCTGAAGGAACAAACTCAGAACACACCATCATTAAGAGCTGTAACACTCACTGCGAAGGTCCGCGGCTTTATTCTTGAAGTTAGCGAGACCAAGAACCCACCAAAAGGAATAAATTCCAGACACAAAGGGTGTCCTTGTAAGAAGAAATGCCGACACAGAATGAGACACCAGGTATATGTGTGAGAACACAGCCAAGGAGGGAGGCCTCAGGAGAAATCCACTCTCCTGGCACCTTGATCTCAAATTTCTACCCTCCAGAACTGTGAGAAAATAAATTTCCGTTATTCAAGCACCTACTCTGTGGTGTTTTGTTATGGTGGCCCTAGCAAATTAATACAAAGAGCTGTATCAATTCAAACTTCAGACTAAAAAATGTCTATACAGAACTGTGCCCTTTAAAAAATACTAACACATTCTGAACAGTCTGTTTTTGAATGTATACTACTGAATAAGACATCTGTAGTTGTATCACCCATTTCATCATTAATATTATTTATTTGTACCTTTTTTTCTTGTCATATCTCGGCAGAAGTTTATCTTTTCCATTAGACTTTCCGAAGACTCAGTTTTTCTTTCCTAGTTTTTAAATTTCCAGTCTTAATTTTAGCATTTCTTTTCCTCAAGTTTATTCAATGACTTTTTGCAACTTCTTAAATTGAACCTTTAGCTCATCAGTTTTCAGTCCTTTCCTTTTCTAATACACATAACATTACATATTTCCTCCTACGTATTTCATTAAATGCATTCTACCAGTTTTGGCACGTATTGTTCCAAAAATCTTACAATTCACTGGTCTTTGACCTTGGAGTTATTTAGAAGTATCTTTTTTAATTCTTCGAATACTCTTTTTTGAGGTTTTCCTTTACATTATCTAATGCTCAGAGAACATTATCCTGTTAATACAGAATTGTTGATATTTAAGACTGACTCTATGAAATAGTACATAATCAATTTTTATAAATGGTTCACATAAACTTAGAAATATGTGCTTCTGTTGGGCATGGGGTTTTATACGTATTCTTCAGGAACACATACCTCTTCCAGGTATAATTCCTGTATGAGTAACTTTCTTTACAACTGATGACATTTTCCTTAAATTCTATTTGACTCTATTTCAAATTCTGTTCTATCTGATACAACCTTCTTTTTGCATTATTTTTCTAGTAACCTTTTTCTTACTTTCACCATTTCTGGTGATTTTATTTTAGGTGTGGCTCTTATAAACAGTATGTAGTTGGATTTTGGTTTTTATATCCAAAGATTTTGTCCACTAACTGTTAAATGTAAGTCATAGACATTTATAGAGATTACTGACCTATTGGATTAATTTACCCCTTTATTTTATGATTTCAATATACCATGCTTTTTATTTCCTTCTCATTTTTTAACCTCACTTCTGTTCTGCCTTTTCTTGCACTGAACTTTCTTCAGTGTTACTTCTGTTCTGCTGGCTCAGAAGTTACATACGACTATCCCTGGTTGTCTGCAGTGTTGACTCGAGTTTAATGCTAATGAGCATCTCTAGTCTCCTATCCGATGCTAGAAATGCAAGGAAACGCACCCTCCAGCTCATCCTACATACTATTTTATATTTTAGCTCCACCTGGCTTTCAGTCGTCCCAATCACTCATCCTCGTATCATTGTTGTTACTGATTTGCAATGGCTATGCTTAATTTAGATTTATCTATGTGTTTATCAATTTCTTAGCAACCTTTCCTTCTCATATGCCATTCCCCCCTTCTGAATTCAGTTTCCATCCTTCTGAGGTACATTCTTATTTTTTTGAGACAAGGTCTTGCTCTGTCACCCAGGCTGGAGTGCAGTGGTGCAATTACAGCTCATTGCAGCCTCCACCTCCTGGGCTGAAGGGATCCTCCCACCACAGCCTCCCAAGTAGTTGGGACTACAGGCGTGCGCCACCACAAATGGCTATTTTTTGTGCCACCACAAATGGCTATTTTTTTTTTTTTTTGTAGAGACAAGGTCTCACTACATTGCCAGGGATGATCTCAAACTCCTGGCCTTAAGCAGTTCTCCCGCCTCAGCCTCCCAGAGTGCTGGGATTATAGCCTGGCCTGAAGTACATCCTCCATAGATGGCCCTTTAGTGGAGGCGTAGTGGTGATAAACACCCTTGGTTTTCCACTAGTCTCAGTATGGCTTTATTTTACCCTGTATGTTGAATAATCTGGCTGGGTGTAAGATTTAAACTTGATGTGAATTATGTGAATGAGTTTTGAAATGTTTTTTTCAGACTTTTTTTTGAAATGTTTTTGAGACATTTAGAATTGTCGACTACTTGTTTTGCTTGAAATGCTCACTCCCTGTTTCCATTTGAATCATTTTCTCATAGTTGTTCCTCTACCTCTTCATACTTTTTAAGTCTTTTTGACATGGCTATCTTTCTCTGTTGAAGCCTTCAATGCACATCTTCTGCAAGGTTCCTCTTCTAAGCTTGCATTTTTTCTTACTCATTTTATAATCTCCTTAAGCAGTTCCATCTACAACCTGATTCCAGGTTTCATAATGAGCCCATGTTTCTTTGTTTGTTTTAATGTCTCCTTAAAGACCTCTGAAATAAACGAATACCAAAAAGAAGACAAAATTTTAAGCAACACTGGAAAATAAGAAGAGTTGCCATGAAATCAGAAGTCAAGAGTAATATCAGAAAATGTGCAGCACATGAGTTCTGGGCCACTCTTTTTCAAGTGTTAGGCAACTTGGGCAGAAGTGGCTATCACCTACAATGATAAACAGAGATTGCATGGTGGTTACACAGGTATACTTTCCTTGTGATATTTACTGACCTTATGGTTTGTGTACTTTTCAAGACATGCTATACTTCAATAAAAAATTTTTATAAAGAAAAATAAATTTTAAAACCTCCCAACAGCTTCTCAGGAGCTGTAGAAGGCCTCTCCTGCTTTTCTGCAAAGAATGACTACTACTTTTCATTAAGTTAACATGAATTAATACACTGAGCACGTATAAGGAGGTATCTCTAAGAAAAGTGAAAAAGCAGTAGACTCTATTATTGGCTAAATCTCTCCCTTCTAGAAATCTCAGCAAAGCATGGAGTAGATACAAGTTGAGTATCACTTATCTGAAATGCTTGGGACCAGAAGTGTTTTGGATTTCAGAATATTTGCATATACTTAGTAAGATATCTTGGGGATAGGACCAAAGTCTCGTATCCACATTATATGCACAGCCTGAAGGTGATTTTATTTTTCACTTGGGGATGCTGAACAGGCTGTATGTTGTGAGCCTGCATTTTGACTGTGACCTATCTCATGAGGTCATGTGTGAGATTTTCCACTTGTGGCATCATGCTGACATTGTTTGGATTTTAGATTTTTGGATTTCAGATGCTCAACCTGTACTGAGAAAACCTTTACTGAATGAACACACTTTTTCAGGCATAAAGTTGTAATACCTAAAGAGATATGAAGAGATCCTGGAGTACAACGGCTGCCTCTTACAAATCAGGAAACTAAGGCTCAGAGAAAGTGATTTTTGCCAAGGCCGTAGAATGGTATCTTTTGATACTAAATCTATTCTCTTTCTACTGCAAGATGACTCCTCCATCATAGGTCCTAACTCCTAAACACAATATTCACTGTACAGTGTATGTTCAATAAATGTTATCAAAGGGGAGAAAGCCTGCAGCGTTAGTTAAGTCAGTTAATCCAATAAGGTGTTAAAAACAGTTTAACTTGCAAGAGCTAGGAAGTCATCGTTCATGATAACCAGCATTGGGGAAACGTGATATTAATATGTATTTCCATCAGTGTTGTCTATTACATATTAAGATACCAATATGAAACTGGAAAGTGTCAGACGGATGCACAGGAAGTGACCAAAAAGGTGTCACAAACATACAGTCGATAAAAATATCTAAGAGATTTGAAGTGAGTCAAGGAAAAAGAGACCAATACTGAATCTTCACATACACTAAGTAATCTGGAAAGCTGATTTTTCAAGGACCAGTAGGAGAAATTTATTAATACAAAGTCTTACAGTCTTCTTCTACAGGGAACACAGGTCATACAGTTAACCTACCTCAGTTCCTGGCTTTCCGTGGTGAGGAGAGTAAGAAGTGCCCAGGCGAGGACCTGGCTGTCGTCCTCAGAGTGAAAATGACTGTGATGCTGGATGTTCTGCAGCAGCAGCTGGTCCAGGCACTCCAGGGCCTTCTCCTGCACAGTGCTCTCACAGTCCATCACCACCGGGACCAACCCCCGCAGCCAGGCTGTCTGGATCTGCACGCATCTAGGCTGAGCCTTAGGAGTGAAAGATTATGACATAAGAAGGTCTAAATACAAGTCAGGGAAGTTGTGATCAACATTTTGACATGTTAAAAATAATCACACATTCAACTGCAAATAGACTACCAAGTGAAAAAAAAAATAAAAAAATATACAAAAGCAAAGCCAGCTTAATGTAAATCAGTGCCAACCAAAATTTTAAACTTATACATTAAAGTCACTATTTTACTAGTAGAAATAAATCAGTACTTTTTTGGTCATTAAAAATCAAGAGCAAATAATAAATATCCCAAAGAGCAATTAGGACACTGACAGAAAAAGTCAAAATATTCGTTGCTTAATGCCTTCTATCATGAAATAAAGAAATAAACATGCTTTTAAAATTCGACTAAAATGCTACCTAGCTGACAAGAGTAAATTAAATATAGTACTTGTGAGTCTTCTCTTCTGGCAGTATCATCCATCTATGCCCTAATTGACTAAATTTAGTCTAGGCCTCCAGCTTAACCAAATCAACTTAAAATTTTATTTTTCTGTGTGAGATTTAAAGCGAAGAAAAGGGTCGGGTGCAGTCACTCATGCCTGTAATCCCAGCACTTTGAGAGGCCAAGGCAGGCGGGTCACCTGAGGTCAGGAGTTCGAGACCAGCCTGGCCAACAGAGTGAAACCCTGTCTCTACTGAAAATACAAAAATTAGCCAGGCATGGCAGCACCTGTCTGTAGTCCCAGCTATTCAGGAGGCTGAGGCAGGAGTGCTGCTTCAACCCGAGAGGCGGAGGTTGCAGTGAGCCAAGATTGCGCCACTGCACTCCAGCCTGAGAAACAGAGCAGGACTCTGTCTCAAAAAAAATAAAAAACAAAGTGAAGAAAGGGCCAACAATTGGCATTTGCTAGCATTAGTTCCCAAGTATGTTTAATAGGAAGCACAGTCTACCATACATAATTCAAAGATGCCTCCTCCCTTACGTTGTACGGTTCTACAGTGGACTTAAGAGTTTTCAAAGGTCAACTTAACATTTAGCAGCAGGTAATCATTGCATGGAATTACGTTTAATGTAGAATACCATGCATGACACATCTAATGTCCTGCCTCTCACCATAAGGAGTTCAGTAAGAGACTGGAGGGCCTGCTTCCGGACAGACACCGCAGGGTCCCGACACTGGTCCTGCAGAATCGACAGGTCTTCCTTCATGCCCGAGACATCACAGTGCTTCAAAATACTCACTAATACCTAGAAGGCATATATGCAACACGAAGTGATGACTGCATAGAATCAACTCAGAAAGATAAACTGTTAACAAAGGAACACTTCCTTTAAGTTTGTGGTTCTTAACATTTTGGGGTCATGGATCCAACCTTCCTCCTCACAACGTCCCATTTTTCAGAATCCAATTTGCTAAGGCCTCTCTCAAAGAAAAACAAATTTTATATAAACAAATATTTACAAACAATTTTATGAACCTATTAAAATCCACCCATGGTCCCTAGGTTAAGAATCCCTATTCTAAACAAATTAAGAATATAAATTTGTGGTTCTTAAAAAAATCAGAAACCCTGTAGGAAAGCTTAAAAATAAATAATCTTTCAGTTCATCTATGATTCACATATAACGGGATCAGGGTCAACTAATAGTTCAGTGAAAAGCAAATTAAATAATGAATATGGTCTAGGAGTTTAAAAAATATCCCTTTGCATTTCCAAGTTTTTAGTGCTAAAAAAAAAAAAATGTGCAGAGAAAACTCGCACCTGCAGTGCAGACTTCCTAACGTTGGTCTTCTCATCCCTGATTCTCTTTCTCAGCATTGCCATGACACATCTTTCTGTAGAGGGAATACCAAAGGGTCATCACAGCTGGAGAAAAGTCATACAGCAGCTAACATTTCACCACACAATACCCAGAAAATACACTCCTCTTAAAGACTCACGAGCTTGTTTTAAATCTTAAGAAATTAGAGTGTGGAAAAAGAAGAAAATATGGATAATTAGGTATTCACTGTAATGCATATAAACTTTGGAATATTAAAAATTTGGTTTTAAATCTTGGCCCCTACCTCTAAAATTCTGAATTTATCTCTTCCATTTTGTTTAGCTACAAATAGGAGTTTCTAACCCTTAGGATTATTTTAAAGATTTGATGAGGTAATATATAACAGTAGCTTTAAAATGTTTGACTTGAAGGCATTTTCTTATAAGAGACGGGGGTCTCATTCTGTTGCCCAGGGTGGTGTGCAGTGGTACAATCAGAGCTCACTGCAATCTCAAACTTCTGGGCTCAAGTAATCCTCTCTCCTCAGCCTCCCAAGTAGCTAGGACTACAGGCATGAGCCACCATGCTAGACTAATTTTTTTTTTTTTAATTTTTTTGCGGAGACAGGATTGTGCTGTGTTGATCAGGCTGGTCTCGAACTCTTAGCCTCAAGTGATCCTCCCACCTCAGCCTCCCAAAACAGTGAAATTATGGTAGTGAGCTACCACGCCCAGCCTTGAGGCTTCTTTATATTCTTAAAAATTACTGAGAACCCAAAAGAGATTATATTTTTTAATACGAATCAATTTAAACTGAGAATTGTAAAAATATTTACTAATTCCTTTTAAAATAGCAAGACATGTTACTGTTAGTACTTTTTCATAAAAAATAACTATATTTTCCAAAACAAATAAACAAGATATAGTGAAAAGGCTGGATGTGGTGGAATGTACCTATAATCCCAGCTACTGGGAAGACTGAGATCAGAGGATCACCTGAGCCCAGGAGTTCAAGTCCAGCCTGGGCAGCACAGCAAGACCCCATTTGAAAAAAAGAATGGCATTGCTTTAGAGTATTGCAAACTTCAAAATGTCTGGCTCAATATAAGCTAGCTTATCTCTCATCTGGCTTATAATTAACAGGATTCTCATCTCTGTTTCTACCTGCAATCTGTTGCAATTTGGTAAGTCATGGGACCACTGGAAAACTCCCAATACATATTCGTGAGAAAATAAGAGTGTGGGAGGCAAATGAACACTGCATTCATTTTTACTTCAAGGACCCCTGAGGGTTCCCAAAACACACTTTGGGAACTGCTTATATATAAGAAGGCAGCTTAAAAAATAAAAGATGGAAAACAATAGAGAAAAATCAATGAAACTAAAAGTAGTTCCTTGATAAGATCCACAAAACTAATACACCTTTAGCTAGACTAGGGAAGAAAATAAGAAAGAAAATTGAAATTGCTAAAATCAAGAAAGGAGGGACATTACTATTATTAGCCTTACATAAATAAAAAGGATTACAAAGGAATACTATGAACAATTTTATGCCAACAAATTAAGTAGCCTACATAAAATAAACAAATTTCTAGAAAGGCACAAACTATAGAAACTGACTCAAACAGAAATAGAAAATCTGAATATACCTGTAACAAGTAAAGAAACTAAATTAGTGGCAGGGCGCAGTGGCTCATGCCTGTAATGCCAGCACTTTGGGAGGCCAAGGTGGGTGGATCACCTGAGGTCAGGAGTTCAAGACCAGCTTGACCAACATGGTGAAACCTCATCTCTACAAAAAATACAAAAAAATTTGCTGGGCGTCGGGGTGGGTGCCTGTAATCCCAGCTACTCGGGAGGCTGAGGCAGGAGATGTGCTTGAGCTAGGAGGCTGAGGTTGCAGTGAGCCAAGACTGTGCCACTGCACTCCAGCCTGGACAAGGGCGAAACTCCATCTCAAAAAAAAAAGAAAGAAAGAAAAAGAAAAAAAAAAGAAACTAAATTAGTAATCAAAAAAACTTCACACATACACACACACCCCTAATGATCAGACACTTTTACTGGAGAATTCTAACAAACGTTAAAGCAAAAACGAACAACAATCCTTCATGAACTCTTTCAAAAAATAGAAAAGAATACACTTCCTAGCTCATCTTAGGCCAGTACTACCCTGACAGCAAAACCAAAACATCTCAAGAAAACAACTGATAACGTTTGAGTATTTGCCCCGCCCGAAACTCATGTTGAATTGTAACACCTATTGCTGGAGGTGGGGCCTAGTAGGGGGTGTTTGGACCACTGGGGCAGATCCCTCACAGCTTGCTGCTGTCTTCATGACAGCAATACTGAGTGAGTTCTTGTGAGATCTGATCATTTAAAAGTGTGTGTCACCTTTCCCCTGACTCTCCCTCTTCCTCCTGCTCCTACCATGTGAAACGCCTGTTCCCTTTTGGCCTTCTGCCATGATTCTAAGCTTCCTAAGGCCTCCCGAGAAACAGGTGCCAGTGCTATACTTCCTGTACAGCCTGCAGAACCATGAGCCAATTAAATCTCTTTTCTGATACATTACCCAGTCTCACATCTTTTTTTTTTTTTTTTTTTTTTTTTTGAGAGAGTCTCACTCTGCTGCCCAGGCTGGAGTGCAGTGGCACAATATTGGCTCACTGCAACCTCTACTTCCCGGGTTCAAGTGATTCTCCTACCTCAGTCTCCTAAGTAGCTGGGATTACAGGCACCTGCCACCATGCTCAGCTAATTTTTGTATTTTTAGTAGAGATGGGGTTTCACCATGTTGGCCAGTCTGGTCTCGAACTCCTGACCTCAAGTAATCCACCCACCTTGGCCTCCCAAAGTGCTGGGATTACAAGCATGAGCCACCACGCCTGGCCACGTATTTCTTTATAGTAATGCAAAAACGGCTTAATACAACAACCAATATTCCTTATGAATATGACACCAAAATTCTCAACAAAATACCAGCAAACCAAATCCAGCAAGATACAACCATGCTTGGGATTTATCCCAGGAATGAAATGTCGTCAACCTATGAAAAATCAATCAATGTAAATTACACCATGGTAACAGAACACAATCATCTCAAAATAGATGCAGAGAACGTATCTGCAAATTCCAACACCTTTCCATGATAAAAACTCAGCAAGCTTGAAATAGAAGAAAACTTCCTCATGTTGATGAAAGTCATCCTAAAAAACTCACATCGTACTCAGCGGTGAAGACCAAAAGCTTTCCCCCTAAGTAAAGAAAAAAGACAAGGAAGTCTACTCTTTGACTTCTTTTCAACATCATACCACAGGCTGTAAAACAAAAACACAATTCTAAGGCTCTCCGACCATCTGAATGGTCTTCCTCCTCAGTCAGGGCACTCTAAAATTTAACCTGAAGACTGGCTCAGGCCATGACGGGAAGCAGGGGCGAGACAAGCCTCATTGTGCCCTCCAGCATTACCTTCCACACAGACTTCAAGTCGGGTAAGAAACATTGAAAATCTGTTCTCTCTGAAGCCTACTATGAAGGCTTCCTCTGCAGTAATGAACTTCAGTCTCCATCATCCTTTATCTTAACCCAGATAGTCCTTCCTATTGACCCCAGTTCTTTAGATAAACTCAACCAATTTTCAACAAGAAAAATTTAAAACCTACCTATAAGCTGGAACCTTCCCCACCTTTTCCTGCCTTTTGGGACCAAACCAATCTACCTATTAAATGTATTTGATTGATGCCTGATGCCTCCCTAAAATGTCTAAAACCAAGGTGCACCCCAACCACCTTGGGCACACGTTCTCAGGACCTCCTGAGGGCTGTGTCACGGGCCAGGGTCACTCACATTTGGCTTAGAATAAATGCTTCAAATATTTTACAGAGCTTGACTCTTTTTGTCAACAAATGGGCAAGAAAAAGAAATGAAAGCTATCCAGACTGGAAAGGAAGAAGTAGAACTACCTCTATTTACAGATGATTTGTTCTTATATCAAGAAAATCCCAAGAAATCCATAAAACAATCATTAGAGCTTGTAATGAGTTTAGCAAGGTTGCAGGACAGAAGATCAATTATCAAAAATAACATGTAAAAACTGGCAATGAACAATTCAGAAATCAAATTAAGAGAGCAATTTAATTTGCAATACTATTGAAAAGAATAAAAATGCTTAGGACAAAATTTAAAGAGCAATATTGTTCACTGAAAACTACAAAACATCACTGAAACAAATTAAAGACCTAAAGAAATAAAAAGACATCTGGTGTTCATGGAGTAGAGGAATTAACAAACTAACATGGCAACACTCCCCAAACTGATGTACAGATCAATCCCTGTCAAAATCCAAGATGGCTTTTTTGTTCTTGCAGAAATTGACAATTGATCTTAAAATTCATAAGGAAATACAAGGGACCCAGAAGAGCCAAACTAATTTTTTTAAAAAACAAAGGGACAGAAGGAGAACTCATACTTCCTGATTTAAAACTGACTATCACAGGACACCACGTTAACGCCAAAATATGACTTGGACATAAAAATTATTTCTGGGAAGATAATTAAAGCAGACAATTAAAAAGCAGCAGTAAACAGAGAAAAAGCTCTGTCTAACCCCCTTTTCTTCCTATGGGCAGTATAGAAATTCTCCTCCACTCACCAGGTCTCTACTCCCTTATCAGCCCAGAGCAATTCACAGAACTCACTCTATTATTTTCCTCCCACATACAGGCAGTCCCTGACTTAGGGTTTTCTGATTTTGCCATAATGTGACAGCAATGCACATTCAAACCATACTTTAAAGAGTTCTGAATTCTGCTCACTTCCCAGCAAGTGACGTGCAGGACAATACACTCTCATGATGCTGGGCAGCGAGAGTAGCTCCCCGTCAGCCACCCCATCAAAAGGGGACAACAGAGAGTCTCCAGTGTGCTGTGCTGCCAACATTTTTTGGATAAGATGTCTTGTGTTATGTAAGTAGAGTTCTAAGCCACTGCCCTCAGTTACTTTGCACTGAGATCTCTCCCGCATAACACGCACTAGACACGTTAATAAACTTGTTTGTCTTGTTACAGGGGTCCATCCTAAGGAAGAACTCATGAGGACTAAAGAAGAAGTTATTTCCCCTCTCCTACACTAGAACACAACAGCAATCAACACAGTGTGGTACATAAAGACAGACATATAGATTAATGAAATAAGATTCCATTAATATAGAATATAGAGCACACATGAGCTTATACAAGTCAGTCAAGTGATTGTTTTACAAGAGTGCTAAGACACTCAAAGGTGAAGGAAGAGGCTGAAAGAAACAGTGCTATGTCAACTGGATAGTCACATGCAAAGGAGTGAAGCTGGACCCTCTATATCACAGCATATGCAAAAATTAACTGAAATTTGATCAAAGACCTAAATGTGAGAGCTAAAACTATAAAACCGTTAGAAGAAAACACAGGAGTAAATCTGTGACTTTGGATTACACGGTGATTTCTTAGTTATGTGATACCAAAAGCACAAGTAAAAAAAGAAAGAGATAAATGGGACTTCATCAACATTAAAATGTTCCGTGCCTTATCATAGAACACCATCTGAAAAGACAACGCACAGAACGGGACAAGTATTTAAAAATCATATACGTGATAAAGTATATATATAAAAATAACTCAACTCAAAAATAAAAGACAACCCAATTAAAAAAAGGGCAAAGGGCTTGAATAGACATTTCTCCAAGGAAAGCGTATTTATATGGCCAATAAGCCTAAGAAAATTTACTCAACATCATTAGCCATGAGGGAAATGTAAATCAAAACCACAAGTAGATACCACTTCATACCCACAAAGATGGCTAAAATAAAAAAGACGGACATGGCAAGTGTTGGTAAGAATGCAGAGAAACAGGATTATCATACACTGCTAGCAGGATTGTAAAATGGTGTGGCCACTTCGAAAAAGTTTGGTGGTTCCTCAAAATGTTGAATATGGAGTTACCATATGATCCAGCAGTTCTGCTCCTAGGTAAACACTCAAGGGAATGAAACCACGTATCTATACAAAAACTCATACAAGAATATTTACAGCAGCATTAGTCACAATAGTCAAAAAGTGAAAACAACCCAAATGTTCATCAGCTGATGAATGAATAAACAAAATGTGGTGTATCCTTATAATCGACTATTATTCAGCACAAAAAGGAATGAAGTACTGATACACGCTACAACATGAATGAACCTTGAAAACATGCTAGGTGAAAGAAGTCAGACACAAAAGACAACATAGTACATGATTTCATTTATGTGGAATGTTCCAAAAAGGCAATTTTTTATTTTTTAATTGTTTTAGACAGAGTCTCGCTCTGTCGCCACGCTGGAGTGCAGTGGTGCAATTTTGGCTCACTGCAACCTCCACCTCCTGGGTTCAAGCGATTCTACTGCCTCAGCCTTCTGCGCAGCTGGGACTACAGGCGTGTGCCACCATGCCCAGCTAATTTTTTATATTTTAGTAGAGACGGGTTTTCACCATGTTGGCCAGGATGGTCTCAATCTCCTGACCTCGTGATCCTTCCGTCTCAGCCTCCCAATGTCCCGGGATTATCGATGTACGCCACCGCGTCTGGCCCAGAATAGGCAATTTTATAAGGAAAGAAAATTAGTGGCTGCCAGTGGCAGAAGGAAGGGGTCATGGGGAGTGACTGCTAATGGGAACGGGGTTTATTTTTCAGCTGATGATATGTTCTGGAATTAGTCTGTACAATCTTGTGACTATACTAAAACAACTAAATTGTACACTTTAAATGGTGAATTTTATGGTGTATCAACTCTTACCTTAATTTAAAAAAAGCAGAGCATTTGGCAAAGTGCATGGCATCTAAGTAACTATGCAAATTTTTTAATGTACAATTAATGCCAACAATGTATGTCCTTTCAGCTTATGAACAACACACTGGAAACATGGGCTCTTTGCATCCCCTAACTTTCATAATTTTTAAGCATCATTAAATCACCTCAACTTGATATTGCTTGAAAAAGTCTGTGCCACAGTAAATCCATAACCTATTTAGAGGAAGTCTGGAGCCAACACAAACATTCAGCATTTTTCCAGAGTATATTTTCCTACAACATTTAGAAAACGTGTTTATTATAAATGCAGTTATTGCTCTGAATTTGAGTAATACATGCTAACATCTAGCCTCCCGAACCCAATTTCATGCTGACCTTCTAGGCTGAATAATAAAAGCAGTAATCATCCTCAGGGAGCTTTCTGTACATCTCAGCACCTATCTCAGTGTTCCACATACGTGTGTGTACAAGTGTATATATGAGAACATTTCTGTGCACAAGCACCTGTCTCTCTCCTGCTTCTTAAGAGATGGAGCTTTGTCTCACAGACTTGTGCATCTCCAATGCCTGGAATGCTTTGGGAAGGACCAGATCAATGTTTATTGAATAAATTAATAAACCTCATTATGTAATTAATCCTCTACGTACATGCTCTTTCTCTCTCTTATCTGTCTCTCTCTCTCTTTAAATCACTTTCCTAAATGTTGTTTCTACAGACTCCCCCAACAGTCGTCTGGGAAAGATGGGAGGGTGTTACAACTGGAAAACGACAGTCATACCTTAGATCATGCAGCTATTTAGTAACTGAGTTTTGGTACAAAAAAGCAGACTACCCTGCAGTGTTATTTTTATTTTTTATTTTTTAAACAGACTGTCGCCCAGGCTGGAGTACAGTGGTATGGTCACAGCTCACTGTAGCCTGGAACTCCTGGGCTCAAGTCATCCTCCCACCTCAGCCTCCTGAGTGGCTGGGACCACAGGTGCACACCACCATGCCCAGCTAATTTTTATATATTTTTTTAAGAGATGGGGTCTTGCCGTGTTGCCCAGGCTGGTCTTGAACTCCTGGGCTCAAGTGATCTGCCGGCCTCAGCCTCCCAAAGTGCTGGGATTACGGGATTACAGGCATGAGTCACCACGCCCCGCCAGATGTTTCAACTTTTAGGGTGAATAAATCAGAAAAAAAACAAAAACAAAAAACCAAGGTTTTAGACTCTACTTACGGTTGTCTGAAATCCAGCAGCATTACCTGACAGAGATAAAATCTGACATACCTCCAGATCCAACTGTTTCACCACTGCAGTCTATGTTGATCTCCCTTGAGGGTTCGGAATGGTTAGATGTCCGCCCTTGGTAGAAAAGAGCTTTTTAAAAAAAAAAAAAAGTACAGTCATTAAGCTAAAAATGTGTTATACTTTTAATAACATTAGCAGGGCACGTTACTCATTTAAGTTACAACATTATTACTGAAACGAATTTCAACTTCTCTGATGAAAAAAGTACAATGTTAAAGTAGGTAAATAAGGAGGTAGGAGAAACATTTTAAATATTCTACAAATTTTTGAAAGATAATCATTCAATATTTGAAAACGTATTGATCCATTACCTGATGAATTTCTCAGTAAGGTACCAGAGTGACTCTCTATTCCTGAAAACGTAGGACCTAAAAACAAGAAGAAAGATAAGGAACAAAGTCAGTATCACAAACTGAGTAAATATCCACAGAGGAACCAAAATCAAGATAATTAGGCTCAAAGACAAGGCAAATAGATTCTAAATTGCTGACAACTGGTAATGTTCTCCTTGGGTATGCATTGAAACGGAGATTCATCCTAACACGACCAATGCCCACCTATGCAAAGCAACAGTAAAGGTAGCCTTTTAAAAGGCCTTGCAAATGTATCAGGCTCACCTATTTAAAAAGTTGACAATAAAATACACTAAAAATGGTTTTAAGGGTAACAACAGATCATACCATACTTATTACTTTTGCCAAAGAAAAGAACGACTCCCTTGCAGTCTTTTCTCAATGAGCACGAGACTGGTTTCCTTTCCCAGCAGTCACCGTACTCACTGTACTCACTGTTCAGCAGCAGCTCCAGAAGGCTCTCCGATGCAGGGGTAACAGTCAGCTCCAGACAGTGCGCAAAGCTGGACAGCGCCTTGCTGCGCACAGTAGGCGCCTTGTCTAAGCAACGATCAAACATAATTTCCTGCACCAAGAACTTATGCTTTAAGAACTTCTGATGCTCCAAGGACAGGGCGTTATCCACGTCTCTTTCAGGCAGTTCCAACAGAGCTAAGACAACATCAAGAGTAAAAACCCGGTGTGGGATCTGGTAAAGCAAGATCGTAAGAATTGCCATCAGATAGGAGTAAGAACCAAAGAACCCTCCTCATTCAGACCTAGAAAAAGAGACCCTTTTAAAAAGAGTTTAAAAAGGACCCAAGGTTTTATGCAGAGCTATCTCCTACCTTGGAACTTCGGGAGTATTTGTAAAGCCAGGCAATGAACATAGCGTACTCCCCACAAGGAAGTTTACTGAGCAGCTGGACTAGGGACTGGGCTGCAAAAGTACGATACTCTGATTTATCTACCACCTGAGAAGCAAAAACAGAAGTTGACCAACCAATATCCACCTGCAGGATGGCTGAAACATACTTTGTAAAACAAACTGAAAATCAGGGAGCGTAACTAGTTCAATGATCTTTAAATGCTAGGTAAATGACTAATAAATTTTAGGTTTGAGATCCCTTGAAAACTACTCTAAAGGAAATCTATAAACCATCTCTCCAGAAAAACACACACACAAATTTAGTATACAATTTCAGAGAGTTTTTAGATCCCCAGGTTTCATAAGGTTCAAATTAAGAATCATTTGTCTAAATGGTTATAAAAATGTAAGAGCGCATCATGGAAATTTGAACACTGGATGTTTGATAATATTAAGGAATTACTGTGAAAGGATATGATGGAATTTGCTTCAAAACACAATCCAGTATACACATGTTGGGGGATGTGGGTTAGGGGTTTAAGTGACACAAAACTGTGGAAGGTGTTGATGGGTATATGGTGGTTTACCATCCTCTTCTCCCTGTTTCTGTGTGTATGTTCAACATTTTTCCAAAATAAAGTGTGTTTTTTTTTTAATAGAACACTTTTGTCTAGAGGACCATCTAGCGAACATTAAATAAAACCACTTTAAGTAACAATGCAGACTCATTCCCAAGAATACACACACCCCCCCCACACACACACAATTATCTTCACACGTGATATACTTCTATGTTATCAGTATTACTAAGGCAAACGGTACCTTGGCACAGATGTGCTGCAGTAAGATACGGAGGACTGGGAATATACTCTCCTTTAACTCATCCACAAGGGAGCTTTTTAAAAGAAAAACACATCTGCTGTTCACAATACAGTCAGTGACTGTCCTCAAAAACCACTCCTCCTATATTTAGAAGTCCCAGTTATTAAAACACTCTACCCTCACACTGTAAGAGTGGTTTCAGTAGAATAAAGAGTGAAGACATAAAACGTCATCGTAGAACACTGCGAAGTAGTTCCCGTGCAGTTTCGAGAGCTGCTGCAGAGCAGCTAAGTCATCAGGAAAGAACAAAAATGCAATCTTCATACAATTCTTTTGACTACTTACTAAATTTCGTATTAAGATGTAAAATGTATCCTTTTGGGATAAATATAAAAATTGACTAAGACACAGTACCACCTCATGGTTGCTCAGTGAAATGCATTAGTAACACTGCTTCTCCAAACTTTAACCCAAGAAGAAATTTCTTTTTTTTGGAGATGGAGTTTTCCCCTTGTTGCCCAGGCTGGAGCGCAATGGTGTGATCTTGGCTCACTGCAACTTCCGCCCCCCGGGTTCAAGAGTTTCTCCTGCCTCAGCCTCCCAGGTAGCTGGGATTATAGGTGCCTGCCACCACACCCGGTTTCTGTATATCAACAGGGTTTCATCATGTTGGCCAGGCTGGTCTTCAACTCCTGACCTCAGGTGATCCGCCTGCCTTGGCCTCCCAAAGTGCCAGGATTACAGGCATGAGCCACCACCCCCGGCCTCAAGAAGAAATTTCTACAATGCCCAGACTTGATCCACTTTTAGTGATGTTTATCTGTAACATTACATGAAGACTATTGAGACTGGTGTATAAGAAACTCTCATGGAAAAAACAAAATGACAGTGTTTTCACTTAAAACATTTTAGTTACCTAATGTTTTAAAAAGCCCTTAGTGAGAGACATTTGCTCAGTCACAAGATGACATCACCTGCACCCCATGTCTCCAACTAAACTGCATGCTGTGCACACACTTGCACATACGTACGTCTTGGCACCACCTCCATGCTGCACGCCAAAAATTAGTGAAGGAGGGAAAGAAAAGCCAATGACACAGCACACATGTCCTTGCCAATGAAGCTAAGGCATGAGAGTTTTTAAGTGAAGCTGAGTGATCCAAGAGGGGAAAAGCAGTCTAATGATCATTGCTATGGAGGTAAGAAGCAACTCAACCCTTTCCTTCAAGTCATTTCTATAGGGGGAAAGGAATAGAAAAGTGCAAAGAAATAAGAAAAAAGTGGCAAAGAACAAAAGCAAAGAGCTACAACACAGAGAGCAACAGAAAAGGGAAAGAGGCGGACTGGCTGCAGTAAAGCAGACAAGGGAAAGGAGGAGAGGCCACTATCCTCCCTCTGAAGCTGACCCACAGATTGAGTGCAAACAAGCTGGAGGCTGGCTCCGGCCGGTGCTCTGCAGATTCCTATCTCTTTAACAATGTCCCAGCTAGGAGCCTACTAACAGAGACCCAGACACATAAAGCACATTAGCTACGAAGTGCTTGGTTTTTACCCCCAAAACCACCATCAGGCCGGAAATTTTAACTCTACATGTATCCGAAATCTCAGTGCAGGGCCCAGAGTACTGAGGGAGACTGACAGGGCGAAAATTCACAATTTGTGTGCTTCACCTGATAAACTGGACCGCCTGGTTTCTACAATTGATGACTTGGGAGGTAATAGCAAGGGGGGCACGATGGGATCCTTCACCAACTTCTAACATTAATATTACACTGAGCATTTGATGGAAAACACAACTGATAACCTAGAACAGAAAAGAAAATTCAATTTAAGATCGGATAGAGAACGCAAGGGTCCCAAACATAGTGATGCAGACTGTAGTAAACCATTTCAAGCCATCTGAAGGTAGGTCAGGTTGGCATAATTACTGGCTGAACACTGGGGATATATTTCTTAAACAATGAGCAGGTATACAATAAATGCACAATGTAAATAGTGTGAAAGAATGGCTGACAGATAATACACCTGATAAAAACAATACCTAGTCTCTCTCCCCACCCACTGCATATCATAACCCAGAATTTAGGACAAATAGGGAATTAACTGTCATTTACAAATGGCAAAGAATGCTACTAATGTTCCTCTATTTAAAAGGGAAAAGAATGATACTTTACAGCTGCTTTTTGCCTCCAGTTTACAAAGCACTTTCCAACATATCATCTCAAATAACACAGTCACTAATTAATTTATTCATCCAATAAATAAAACATTTACTGAAAACCAAGTAAGTGGTAGGTACTGCATTAAGCACTTTCACCTACATAGCTAGATTTTACTATATATATATATATATATATGAAATATACATTTAATTTTAAACCTTACAACAATTCCATGAGGTAAGCAGGACATGTATAATTTCCACTACACAGATAATTTAAAAAAGCTCCAAAGGTGAGCTGTCCAAGATCAAATAATTAAAGATAAGGCTAAAACCAAGACTGCCTGACATCAAGTCAATACTTTCACAATTAAAAAACAAATACTGGCCGGGCACGGTGGCTCATGCCTGTAATTCCAGCACTTTGGGAAACTGAGGTGGGTGGATCACGAGGTCAAGAGATCAAGACCATCCTGGCCAACATGGTGAAACCCCGTCTCTAAAAACACAAAAATTAGCTGGGCGTGGTGGTGCGCACCCGGGAGGCAGAGGCTGCAGTGAGCCGAGGCGGTGCCACTGCACTCCAGCCTGGCGACAGAGCGAGACTACGTCCCAAAAAAAAAACAACAACAAAAAAACACCATCTTTAGAGAGACAGTAGACCTAAAGGGATAAATTTTCCCATCCATTTTATTGTTTAAAATACTTAAAAGGGCATGGGAATTAAAAACATTACTACAAATGTTACCACATTCATATTTCAAGCACACAGAAGTGATAAAGATTTAAAACTTATAAAATACCAAATGTTTCTAAACAGCAGGCATTGTGCTCGGCATGTGACATGCTCAACTTCATTTAATTCTGTGACAAATCTATAAGGAAGGTAAGAATTTGGTACTTTTTGTCCACAAGTGAAATCTGACACTTTAGCAAGGTTGAACGACTCATTCCAGGACCCCCAGCTAGTAAGTGGTGGAGTCAGAATTCAAACACAGACATGCAGAGGCCCAAGTCTCCCCCAAAACATCTTCTGAACCACGTTACCGCCTCTGCAAGTTAACTGTGTCACAGATACCAAAAGCCACCTGACCTTGGTCCACCACATTTTTTGCAAAATCTTATTGTTTTATTTAAGACGTCTAAGCTTAGTAACACCATAATGCACAACTAACTCTAACTCCAAAGTTTACAGTAGTGATAATATTGAGGTAACTTGAGGCAAAACCCAGTTATCAATGCTAACCAGGGATGACAACCTACAAAATTTCTGTAGAATATCCACAAAAATAATACAACTACTAATAGAAATACTGAAGCACACATGAATTGCCAAGGGAAACTGGAAAATTCTGACTATTCCACTTTTCAAAATGATTTGGGAAATATTCCTATAGAAGTAACTGTTCAGTAGCTTATCTGTTCCTCCAATTTTATTCACAGCAGAACCATTTTTTCTAACTGGAGCCTAACAATAATTTGCTGCAGCCACCAAGTATTCTGATATAAACTTGGCAATAAAGAACAGAGAGCAAATAGAAATAGTGATACTTTTTATTATGCAAATAATATGTCATGAAAAAAAGCTAGTAAATTGAAATGGCATTATATCAAACGCTTTTAATATATTTCCATCATATGACTGGTGTGCCTTCGATTCAACTAGTAACCAAATTAGGTTCTCATCTCCTTTACCTTATCTCCTTCTCCATGAATGGGAGAGCACAGCAAATACAATCCATGATAAGCCAGTTCTGGTATGTATTTTGCTCGGTTAAGGTCTCTAAAGAAAAAAGACAAAATCTTAATTAATGGAAACGATTTTACTTGGAATATGTCTTAGTCCTACAAGCCATGTTTAAATGAATAAATTCTACCTGTGTGCCAATTAGGATAAAATGGCATTTCCATTTCTGCTGGAGCAAAAATTAGTATACTATACTTAAATTGTAGCACTGGAAGATTTAATGGCTCACCTGGCTTGTGTAACATGATATTCATGACGAACTGGCTCAAAATTAGTTAATGAAACAAAGACCTAGAAAACAGATATGAAGAAAAGGCCTGATTTTTTCTGCTCATTATTAGCCATAGTCTATATCCTTTGAAGTTGCCCTAAGGTTCCTGGAATTTTCACTTACCTCTATACAATTCTGTACACATTGTGGCTTTTCTTTCAAGGAAAACTTTGGCAGAAGCCTTAAAAAATTCTTTAAAAGGTGAAAGATGGCACTTCGAATTTGAGAAAGGTCCTGGGCAGAAAAACAAATGTTCTCATCTTCTTGTTCTTCTATAATTTCATCCATCTAGATGATGAAGAAATGTACAGGTCACTGTAATAAATGCCAAACACTTTGTCCCATGGTTTTCAATTTACCCAAACCAAGTCCAGATAAACTCCAGGCAGGAGCTGACGTTGAGGTGACATGACTTTGACCAGGTGGCATGACTGTCCTAGGTCTCCTTGGCCACAACAGTAAATCACTGGACTAGATGACCGCTACAGTAGTTTCTAGTTTTGTGTCAATGAGGAATCCTATTTTTCAGAATTTCTGCTGTCTATGAACTTCCATCATCCTACAGTGTCGCACAAGAATATGGAATCAGGCTGGGTGTTGTGGCTCATGCCTGTAACCCCAGCAGGAGGCCAAGGTGAGCAGATCACTTGAGGCCAGGAGTTCCAGACCAGCCTGGCCAACATGGTGAAACCCTATCTCTCAAAAAAAAAAAGCAAAAATTGGCTGGGTGTGGTAGTACACGCCTGTAGCCCTAGCTACTTGGGAGGCTGCAGCAAGAGAATCACTTGAACCCGTGAAGCGGAGATTGCAGTGAGCTGAGACTGCACCACTGCACTCCAACCTGGGTGACACAGCAAGACTCTGTCTCAAAAAGATAAAGAAAAAAGAAAGAAAGAAAGAAAGAAAGAAAAATTATATGAATCCCAAGAGACAAAGCAGTATTGGATAGCTTATGATGGTTTAGGACCGTTTGCCTATTACCATGATGCCTGAAACCATATTTAGTATAAAATCAATCCTTAAATAAGCCAAATCGTGTGTTGGTATATATGTTTTATTACTCAACTTACTTCTTACCTCAATATCTTCTTTCCTGGGTGGCTTTCCCCTTTTTCTATGCCTGCCGGAATTAGCCTGAGAGCTCCTAGGCTGTTCTTTCTTTCTTTTCCGATTCAAGTTAGATTCCTGAGGCCAGCTCTTCTTTAGAGTCTGAATGCATTTGTCAAACATCACTGGGTGGAATACTTGATTGGCTACACTGCCTATTCATAAGGAATAAAGAGTAAGCAGGTTAGATTTAACTGTCTTGAAATGTCTACAACAACAGACGAAAAGTTACAAAGCAAAACACAGGCTTTTCATGACTGTGAATAACAATGAACCTGTAGCAAGAGTACCATTTCCAACGTCAGCCTTAGTAGAGGAGCAACAGCGCTGCATCAGAGATACATAACAAGATTTCCACATCTGGTCAGGACAGAGTAATTGGCTTTACACTTGTTAACAACTAGAAAACTGGGCAACAATTTATAAAATAACCATTTTAAGACACCGGGCACCAGGCAGCATAAGAAGGGCAATCTCTGAAAAAAGGGAAACAAAGAGGTAAACCCTAAAGTTGCCCCAGTATTGTATCCAGAGGCAATTTCCGGACAACAGCAGATAAATGGTAAATCCACACAAATTATAATCGTCTTACTATGTTGAAAAAGCAGAGTCAGAAACACAGGGTAGATGGAATTTATAGAACAGAAGAACCTACACAGAAAAAGAGTTCTAAGAATCTGCCCAGGACTGAACATAAGCTATGCATGCACAGGGTAAAATTCTAAGACAGAGAGCAAAGAAGTATTTCCAGGGAGCAAGAAGATGAATTATTTTCACAACTCACACAAGGCTCAGATACATTGAGTTGTGGCCAGCCAGAGTGGAGTGACCTTGTTAAGCACCTAGAGCATTCAGTAGAGACCTCAGAACAAACACACCTTAACAGTAGGGCTAAACCAGATGTAGTGTAAAGGCTACTTTATATCTGCCCTAATAAAGCTTTAAAACAAGCCTCAAAAGGATCAAGTTAATCCACCAATAGCTGCCTATCAAAACATACTTCAATAGTATTTAAAGGAAAACAACAAAATCCAGACACTCAACAACATTCCAAATGCCCAACATCCTGGCTGAGGGCAGTGGCTCACGCCTGTAATCCCAACACTTTGGGAGGCTGAGGTGGGTGGATCACTTGAGCCCAGGAGTTTGAGACCAGTCTGGGCAACACAGCAAAATCCTGTCTTTACAAAAAATACAGGGGGTAAAAAAACAACAAATGTTCAGCATCTGGTAAAAAAATTACAGGGAATGCTAAGAAGCAGGAAAATGTGCCCCATAGGAAAAATCAGTCAATAAAAGCAGCCCAGGAAATGACAGAGATAATGAAACCAGCTGATAACAACCTTAAAGCAGCTCAAGAATTAAAACATTATCATGAGGAGAGAAATGAAAAAAAAAAAAAATTTAAAGAAGCAAACAGAAGTTTCTTGATCTGAAAAAGAAACATTCACTAGATGAGCTTAATAGTGGCTTGGTTATTACTGAAACAAAGATAAGTGAACTTGAAGATACAGCAGGAGCATAGAAACCAAAAAGCTAATAAAGACTCAGTGACCCACGGGAGAACATCATGCAGTCTAACACAGGAGTCACTGAAGTCCCAAAAAAGGAGAAGGAAGACATTTGAAGAAAGAGTCATTGAAAAATTTCCAAGTTTGTTGAAACTATTAAGTCCACAGATCCAAGAAACTCAATCAACTCAATCGCAATAAGCACAGAGGAAATCACAACATAGATAATCCAACCAAAAAGCAAAACAAAGTTAACTCAGAATTTTATATTCAGCAAAAAGATTCTTGAAGGTGAAATAAATACAATCAAAATCTGATAGGGTTTATGGCTTGCAGACCTGCACTAAAAGAAATGTTTAAAAATAAACAGTTCTTCAGGCTGAAGGAAAATTATATGAGATTAATCTTTCAAATATAAAAGCTGTTTATCTTGTTTCTAAAAAATTCCATAAAAGACAGTTAAAGAAGTATTAATGAAATGTAGGCTTTATAACATGTAGAAAAAATAACACACAAAGAACAGGAGAGGAGAAAGGAAAATATGCTTTGTTTTGGTTGTTGGTGTGTGTGTGTGTGTGTGTGTGTGTGTGTGTGTGTGTGATGGAGTCTCGCTCTGCTGCCCAGGCTGGAGTGCAGTGGTGTGGATCTCAGCTCACTGCAACCGCTGTGTGTGTGTGTGTGTGTGTGTGTGAGATGGAGTCTCGCTCTATTGCCCAGGCTGGCGTGCAGTGGTGTGGATCTCAGCTCACTGCAACCTCTACCTCCCAGGTTCAAGCGGTTCTCCTGCCTCAGCCTCCTAAGTAACATGCGTTACCACATTGGGCTAATTGTTGTATTTTTTTTTTCTCTTTTTTTGTAGAGATGGGTTTCACCACGTCGGCCAGATTGGTCTAGAACTCCTGACATCAAGCAATCTGCCCACAGCAGCCTCCCAAAGTGCTGGGATTACAGGCATGAGCCACCTCGCCCAACCTAGGAAAATACACTGTTTTAAGGTTGTTCTTACATCATATATAAACTGGGAGAATATTATCTGAAGATAAACTGTGAGAAGTGCCTACTGCATACACAAAGCAAGCACACAAAACATACGCACACATGCAAAAGAGTATAGCTAATACACCAAAAAGAGACAAAGGATACTAAAATCCAAAACTAGGCAGGAAGAGGAAAAAATTGAGCAAAAAACAGATTTAAAAAAATAGAAAATAAATAGAAAAATGGCAGACACCCAACTATATTGATAATTACTCTAAATGTAATCAGCTAAACAATTTAAACATTCTGATATAAAAGCAAACATTGTCAGAAAGAAGCATGACCAAATGAGCTGGGATTTCACCATGTTGGCCAGGCTGGTCTTAAATGCCTGCCTGACCTCAAGTGATCCACCGGCCTCGGCCTCCCAAAGTGTGGGATTACAGGTGTGAGCCACCGTGTGTGGCCCCGTCTCTCTTAAAAAAAAAAAAAAAAAATGAAAGAAAGAAAAAGAAAAACCATGACCACATGACAGGCAGTCTACAAGAAAACCTTTAAATATAAACATATGGATAGGTTACAAATAAAAGCATGAGAAATGATGTACCAACCAAGGATAAATCTTAATATAACTATAGTGGCTATCTTAATATTAGACAAAGTAGACTTCAAGACAAGGATTACAACCAGACAAACAAGGATATAACATAATACTAAAAGGACCAATCTACCAGGAAGACATGACAATCATAAATACATCCATATCTGTCAGACTTTCACAATATCTTAAGTTAAAAGAATTGAGAGGAGAAATAGATAAATTGATAATTATTCTTAGAGATTCCAACATTCCTCTCTCAATAATAGATAGAACAAATAAGCAGAACATCAGGAAGCATATATAACCCTTGAATAACACTTGCAACCAACTGACATTTACAGAATACTAGACCTAACTTACATTTACAGAATACTAGATCCAACAAAGGCAAGGTATGCATTCTGCTAAAAGTGCAAATAGAAGATTCACCAAATTAGACTCTAGGTCCATTAAAAAAAAAAAAGGCACAAATAAATAATTTAAAAGTATCATAATCATATAATATTCTCTGATCCCACCAATTAAAAATCAATTACAATAAGATTTCAGTAAAGTTCAAATATTTGGAAAATAAACTCAATTTACCAAACAACTCAGAGATGTAAGAAATGACAAGAAAAATTACAAAATCATTTTGACCTGCACAGCAGTAAAAACACATCATCAAAATTTGTGGGATGCAGATGAAGCTGTACTTGGAGGGACATTTATAGTATTAAATGCTTGTATGAGAAACAAACAAATATACGTGAGAACAAAGATCTAAGCATCTACCTTAAAAAGTCAGAATAAGAGCAAATTAAACCCAAAGTAACAAGAAAGGAAATCATAGCCTTAAGACCAGAAACCAATGAAACAAGAAAGGGACAAACAACAGAAATCAATTAATGACATCAAAAGGGGGTTCTCCAAAGTGAACAGTAAAATGAATAAATCTCGATCTAGATTGATCAAGAAAAAATAAAATACAAATGACCAACATCAGGGGTGAGAGGAGATCACCAGAAATTCGACAAACATAAACCTCTTTCAAAAAACTCCAGGCCCAGATGACTTCACTAGTGGGTTCTACCAAACATCTGAGGAAAAAAGAAAACTCAAAATCTGCCAAAATACAGAAGAGAAGAGAATACTATGTAACTTATTCTATGAGAATGGTATTACCAAGATACTGATTCCCAAACCAGACAAAAATATATCAAAAAAAGAATATCCCTTATGAATACAGACAGAAAAACCTTCAACAAAATATTAGCAAACACTCTGACAACATATAAACACCGTGACCAAGGTCATATAAAATTGGTTTAATATGTGAAAATCAATCAATATAATATACTATATTAGAATAAGAAACAAAAACCACATGATCACTTCACAAGTGCAGAAAAGCAAATGACAAAATCCAACAGCCTTTCATAATGAAACACTCAGTAAAACAGGAATAATAACTTAACAAAGGCCATCCTGAGAAACCCACAGATAACATCATATCTAAAGGCAAGACTGGATGCTTTCCCCTTAAGATCAGGAATAGACAAGGATCCCCACGCTCCCCTTCTATTCAACATTGTACTGGCGGTTCTAGCCAGGGCAAATAAGTAAGAAAAATAAATAGAAAGAACCCAGACTAGAAAGAAAGAAGTAAATCTGTGTCTATTCACGGATGACGTGATCTTACACAAAGAAAACCCTGTTGGAACCAACAGATGAGTTTCGCAAGGTTCTAGGATACAAGATAATCAAAATCAACTTTGCTTCTATACACTACTAATAAAACAATCCAAAATAAAATTAAGGGAACAATTTCATTTACACTAGCACTGAAAACAATACTTAAGAATAAATTTTAAAGAGGAGATGCAAGAGTTGCGCCCCGAAAATTACAGAGCATTATTGAAACAAATTAAAGAAGATCGACAATAAATGGAAAGACATCCTACAGTCAGAGATTAGAAGACCTAACGTTGTTAAATTGGTAATACTTCACAAACTCATCTATAGTTTCAATGCAATCCCTGTCAAAACCGCAGCTGGCTTTTTTGTTGTTGCAAAAATTCACATGCAGATTCTAAAATTCACATGGAAATGCAAGGGAGGCAGAACAACCAAAATGATCTTGAAAAAGAAGAATATACTGTGATCGAATATTAAGTATTGACAGCATCTCAATCATAAACCCAAAACATTTAAAAACAGAACTGCAAGAATACGGCTTGCTGGAAAGCTGCAAGTGGCCCACACAATTAGTAACAGCCACCTCTTTGCTCTGGCATAAATCTAATCTTAATCAGAAGAAACTGCATCTGGCAAGATGAGAGTGAAATGGGTTTCTAAAACCACTACTTTTTTGAGAAAGGGCCTGGTTACAACTGAGACACTGCTTAGCAACAAAATCCTTTAGGAACTTACTCATTTCCAAAGTCATTATGGGAGCATTAACAATAACACAAACCAATGTTCAAGGCTTTAAATATAATACCTTTTTGCCCATTCCCAGATCATATGGAATACACCCTGAGCATTAATTACAAATGCTAATATAAACAGAGAGAAGCAGCAAGATGAGTGATCTTGTCATTTTCTTTTCCATATGAACTCTGGGTTACTGAGCTCAATCTCTACGTTCCACTCTCTCACCTTGGGTTTGGAGTAGGGAAGAGAATGGATTTCACCGTCACAGGAGGAAAGGCCTCCTCAGTGCTCTGACAATAAAGTAGAACAGTGCTGGAACACAGACTCCTGGTCAGTGCCCTCCTTCACGTACTACTAGCTGCTTTCCTGCTTTCTTGATTAGAGTGGTTTTAACCTATTTTTCAACACCAACATCGGAGACGTAAAAACAATGACTCCTCACAGCAGTATTTCTCAGTCTAGACAAGGAATCATGAGGAGAAAGGGCAGTATCACAACTGTAGACGGCGATGGCGGGGGGCGGGCGCGGAGCTCTTCCGATGCTCCTCAGACGGCGATGGCGGGGGCCAACGGCGGAGGGCG